TTACCTAGCAGTCGTCAGCAGTATAGGAACAATGTTCTAATGTAAGCAGACAGCAAGGAAATCCGACAACACTTCCGTCCTCCTGGACTCCTCCACATGCAGCCACAAAACTTTAATTTAATCGCAATCTCCGTTTTATTTACGCTTCATCAATTCTCAGCCACACAAAATCCAATCCTAATCACACAAGTCTCTCCAGCTAATATATGCCCATATTTGTCATCTGTCATGCACATCGCCATCGTGCGATGGGTTACACTCTTGCCGAGGACTAATTGCACCCATTACGTGGCTGTACTGGTCACCAATCTGATCCAGTAGCAGGTGCCTGGACAAGTGGACTATAGGTCCTGTAAATCAGCATATCGAGTAGAATGGATCGTATGTTCTATAATACTATATATCATAGAATATAAGGCATATGATTGTAGTATAAATAGAGAGAGATTATTATAAAACTATATATAGTTTACTTTTATAATAATCTCTCGTGGCGTGGCATGTGCTGCCTCACTGCCTGTTTCCTATTAGCATATTACAGTGGAGTATGTTCTATAATAACCCAGTGGCGCGTAAAATGGCATTTGCTGCTGACATTTGGTACTTATTTGCATGATTAGTCTGGCGTTGGTATACACTGTACTATGATATATAATATATATTATATATGCACAAAGAGATCACTGTATCAGTCTGTGGCATTTTGCCCTTCTAATTCAGTGCTGTTAATTGCTAGTACTGCGTACTGTGCATTTATAGTTGTTACGCTAAAACTGTTAAAATTGTTACGTTGAAATTGCCACATTTTTGCTGCTACACGTGATAACTATATTTGAATATTTCCTGCTCTTCCCCCGTCGATCAAAGGAATGCCACATATTATGGTACGTGCCCTCTCTAGGACTAATAATATATAAAATGTGTTAATATTTGAGGTTTATCCTGGTGAGTGGTTACGTAAATAAACATTCTTAGGTATGTTATTTTAATTGAAGTGAAAGTTGTTGAAATGTTGATATGCACAGTTGCCCAGCGAATTTGTATTACTATTATATGCGGATATATCTCGAGATCCACGCCTACATATAATTTATAAAGTATACCAATTTGCCACGTACCCAAGCCAAGAGTCCACGTATCCAACTAACAGTTCAATATTAGCGTTAATTTCGATACATTGCCGTCGGAAACGGCTAGAACCGGCCAGTTGTCAGGTTTCTTTTTTCTGTCAAATTTGTGGGTTATCATAATTTACATGCTGCAAATCAGGATAAAACCATACCATAAGATCTTATCAAATTTTGAATCCTGCTACTACTATGTACATGGTTTGAGCCATATCTAAGTCACACTTTATCTTTAGTATCAATATCACTAGCGATTCAATCACTGAAACCACCCTTCCAGAATTATTTCTTCAGAAGTTAGACCACTCCCTTCTCTGTACTCTGAGTAGCGAGTATATACTAGCTAGCTGTATGTACAGTCAGTGTATACATGTTAATACAATAATTGTATATATACCATTGTACAGGAGAAGTATTAAGTACCGTGTATATAATGTACAACTGTTCACGTGTGACCTGTCCTATCCAATTCCATGTCTGCAGATATCATGCAGCAGCTGTAGCTCTCACCGTGCACGCTATACGTCACTACGTACAGTACTAGCACTAGTTAGGTTTCAATGTGAAGCCCCACCTCTGCAGCAGGGTCTTGCTGGCTGCTCTATACGTACATTGTATTATATAGCTGATTAAATAGCATATTATTCTCAGTACAATATTCAGTATATCCCCCGGCTCTAGCTAACGTAACACCGGTTGTGTTAGACACAATTCTTGTAGAGCTGTAGGAGATGGTTTACCTTTGGTTATTCTAGATTGTTCTTCCGTGCCAGTTTAAACTTTCTCCTTGTAGTCGTTAAGTCGACGTGACATGCACTGGTATTGTTTGGTATGTATCATGACACTGTCTGCTGTTTCCATTGTATAGCAGTGGCCGATAAACGATAGCCGATCAGTCTCAGCAACAAAGGGAGTCGTGACCGCCACATGATGGATAAAGGGTACAGTCGCCTCGTTTCTTGCAATGCTTCTTATCCCTTCTTAGACTGCTTCTAATTTTGTCAGTCATCGCCCAAAATATACCCATTATATTTACAATTCATATCCTTTTAATACATGTAACATGTATGTTGAGTTGGTTTATTTGTTAATTATCCGCCTTTGCTTTCTTTGGTCTGGCTCCACTTTTTACAAAGAAAATATAGCTCAATACCACACCTTTACGTATATTATTTACAGTCTTAATAATATATTTCTTTATGTAACAATTATGCTGCAAAGGGCATATGCATCGACTGAATAAGTGCGGACAAATCTATTTTTGCTAACATAGTTATTATGACTGACATTCCGCTTTTAGTTTTGCAGTTCTTATATTCGTATATTTGCAGCTCTCTGAAATTCTGACGAGATTTACTTTCGATCCGTTTTAGTCTACGCTTGTCCACTAACAGGTTTTAGTTCCAAATTGAAATTTCGATTCATTGTTCCTGCATGAATTTAAGGAAAACCGGAAACTTCTGGATTAAAACATGATGAATAGACACCAACTTCCAACCAGGCTATTTTACAAGAAGACAAGAAGACAAGCTATGTATTAACTGTATACTAACAATGTTATTTTGCTTGAGGCTATAAATGCTTTCCTTATGGAGTTTATAAAGGAGTACAAGTAAAATTGACCGTTTAGCTTCAAAGGTGAAACATTTTGTTTAGTTGTGATGAGCATTAGTCGACGTTTATCAAATCTAATCGAGTCAGTAATGATGGTACATCTTCCTTCGTCAAAATTTCTTTGTTTTTTTGTTTTCGGAGAAAGCCAACTTTTCGCTGTTTCAACGTATTCTTTGTGATGCCTCCAGTATATTATAGCATCCTATTGTCATTTTTGATTTGTCAGTACCGACATTCGAAACCAAAGACACATTGTAAAATCGTCACAATATTTTATTTCCGTCGCTTTCTTTTAATACGCGACTTTATCATACACCGATTAAATTCATTTGCAACGCGCTAGGGAATCATTTAACGACTTTATGTTTCTGTTAGATGAGTGATTGGAATGACGGCTTAAGGGGGCCGGGGGGGGGTCTTCATCAAAATTCTCTTGAAATTGATTTTATAATTGTTTCTGATAGAGGGGAGTGATATCTATCAGCTGCTTTTGGTCCCATGGAAAAATATTGTTCCTAGCCGAAATTATCGCTGGTCAAAGGTCAGCGCTCATGCGTAATTGTATTGCGCGAGCGATTTTCAATCGCGCGTCCTGAAAATCGAGTCTAAAAATCTATCTTCTCCTACATTTTTTGAGCAATCACCCTGAAACTTTCAGGATGCCGAATTTTGAGATAGGCCTCAGAAAATTTTTAAATCGATTTTGAAAATCTTGGACCTGGAAAAATCGTCAAAAAATGAGGTCCAAGATTTTCAAAATCGAATTAAAAATTTTCTGAGGCCTATCTCAAAATTCGGCTCGATACTCCTCTTCTAAATGATCCTTAGAACATATCCTGAAAGTTTCAGGGTGATTGCTCAAAAAATGTAGGAGAAGATAGATTTTTAGACTCGATTTTCAGGACGCGCGATTGAAAATCGCTCGCGCAATACAATTACACATGAGCGCTGATCTTTGACCAGCGATAATTTCGGCTAGGAACAATATTTTTCCATGGGACCAAAAGTAGCTGATAGATATCACTCCCCTTTATCAGAAACAACTATAAAATCAATTTCGAGAGAATTTTGATGAAGACCCCCCCCCCCCCCCCCCGGCCCCCTTAAGCAAGGAATGTTTAATTTTAAATTTCAGGAAAATAGAAACACGGCAGACCAGCTATTTGTACTGCTATTGCTAATAACACACTTGTTATAGTGTAACCAAATGAATAAATATCAATTATCCAACTTTTCCGCTTGGCCGTTTATCCATAACGGCACAATTTACTAAGTAAATTTGAACAACTATAAATATGTCATTAAATACCTTAACAGCCTTGAGTGAGCCGATAATGTATATAATTTATTATAGGTGGGTATCCTATGGTTATAATTTATTATTTTTGTGACTGTTGATACACCTTTATTAATTAACAATTTCCACCTTCCAGTAAATTAGTGACGGGGTAGTCTTGTTATAGAAATTATGAGAAAACTCGAAAAAAACGCAGGAAATGTTTGAATATCGGACGTCACCCCACGTCAAGCAATAATTGCCCTATTAAAATTATTCTTATATTGGTGAGAGGAGCCGCGTGATTTTTAAGTGTCCTACGCAAGCCTGGTATTTTTCTATAATGATCTGGAGTTATATTATTAAGCCTTCCTCAAATGCGTGTCCTACCGTTTTTAGGTGGAAGAACGCCAGTATTCTACCGTTTTTTTCTTTTTCTTTGTTTGTTTATCAATTTGCTTACAGAGCATTTACAATAAAAAGTAAATGCCAACCGGAAATTATTGCTTCTGTTTCGGTCCCTCAACCCAACTTCCAATCGAATTACTTATTTATCTTTTATTTATCAGAAGAAATTTTGTTACCTAAAAAAATCTGCAGAAATATTCACCTTGCAAAATTGTTGAATGATAAAGGCAATTCGAGGGCTACACCCCATGGGAATCTGGCTTGATAAATAAAAAATATTCTAGAGGTTGCGACGCAAAAGGTATTATTATTGCAGACCCTTTGTGGCGTTAAAAGTCCGTCAGCAACTAGCAAGTCATCTTATTTTTGTTCAAAAAAATAACAGAACGCGAGAAATTGTTGTCGAAGGTTGTCCCTATTGTTTAAATTTCCACACCTTGAGTCATAAGACTGAGTCAAAATATCATATTTGTATGTTGTTTTAAAAAACCACTTTGCCATTCAATAATGCAATAAATTTCTACAATTTTTGTGGGTCAAAGTTAAATCTCGAAACTAACCGTTTATATCTTTATAGCAAGGCTACCGGGGCTCATACGATCACAGTCCGTCTGTGAGAGAGCATTAGTTTGTGTTAGATAAAACTCGAGAAGCAGGTCCCTCCTCATTTTGCTGGAATCATGGATAACAAGATCATGGATAATAAAGTTCTAGAACTTACTATGCAAACAGGTAATTTTTATTAAACTTTGTAAACTTAATTCTATATTTAAAATTTAACGTGCCTTTACTAGGAATGTTACAATTTGTGAGTAACACGCCGGGGTTAGCAGGCTTTGCTCCATATTAATGAACCTACAATATTGCCCTATATGATATATTAACGTTATTCCTTACAGCTACGGAGAAACTAAAAGCACAAGTGCAATTCTGCCAGCGTGAGAAAGAAAGATTCACAAAGTGCAATTCTCAGGACTCTACGACTTTCTACGAGGAGAAGCTCCAAGAGTTTAAATGGTAAGCTGGATATTTATAACTTCTGTATTTCATTGTAATAGTCTCTTTGGTGAGATTATTAACGTGATTTAACAAAATTGAGAAGCCCGATTCAGTGAGTTCAAGTCAATACGAGTCAACGTTTCCCAATATTGTTGTCAGTTGTCACTCCGGAAATTAACAGATCTGGTTCTGATCCGGTGATTGGTCCGGATTTCGGCAATTCTGTTAAAATAAGGGCTGGATATCATGCAATCACTAGAAATATAACACATTCTTTCTGTAATTTAACTAATAAAACCCGTTTTCAGGCAAATGCTCCAGCTGCAGCAACATTATGAATCTACCGGTGAAATGCTGAAGATCAAAAGAGACACTGTGTCAGTCCCTGTTGCAGCAGACAACGAGCGTTTGATGGAGGATCAACTTGAGCTGGACGTGTCGGATGTTTTGTAAGTTTCACTTATTCGAACAGATCTTTTTATTCTGATAGCTGAGAAGCTAACTTTACTCGACTTTTACTCATTCAAAATTCTGCTGTGTGTCTCCCAATGGACCTCACGCCGATCACGACTTTATTCCATATTTCCCCTCAGTTTCAACCCGACCACGGAATCCAAAAAGATGTACTTCCTTCGATACGTCATCTGTCTGCCGCTGCAAAAGCACGTGCTGCAAGAACAGAAGACGGAATTCTTCAGGACCTGTGAGCTCAAAACAGTGGAGGAAAAACGCATCTTTCATTTCCCAAGGTAATTATATTAATACAAATGAGTGTGTTTATTTCGGAGATCTTTGATCTTACTGATTTATAACTTCGTTCAATAAGACATTAAAATTCTTTGAAGCACTAAAAGAGCATGAGAAAAGTTTGATGCAGCCAACTTTCTTTGTGGCATATAGAATCAAGGTTATTTCTTCTCATTGTAACAATACACCAAATCGATAACCCTTCCCACCTCCTCAGAGACGACCTGAAAATGTGCGAATCCTTAAAACGAGGGTACATGACTGTGGAGTTGTACGCAGAGAGGAAACTAAAAGCTCCAACTTTAGTTGGTATTCCTCAAAGGGTGTCTCTCAACAGATTCCTCGAAGAACACTCCATCAAGGGAATGCTTTCGTTTGGAGATAAGGGCGAATGGGACATTTCTTATTCTCTAAACATCCGACGAGCACAACGAGTGGAGGTAAGAATTCTCTCTTATTATTCTGAATAATTGCTCTTCAGCTTATGCAAACACCTCCAACAATTTTTTCGTATTCTGTTTTCGAATCAATGTTAAAAGCACGAACAATCCTTTCTCACTCTGACGAAATGTTCTTGAAATAATATCGACATTATTTCTCACGTACGCGTAATTCATAAAATATTATAATGCTATTAAAATAAAAAGCAAATGCCAAGTGCCAACCGGAAATTATTGCTTCTCTTTCGGTCTCTCGACCCAACTTCCAATCGAATTACTTATTTATCTTTTAATTATCAGCAGAAATGTTGTTATAAATATAATATCGACATTATTTCTCACGTACGCGTAATTCACCAAATATTATAATGCTTTATGCTATTATCTAAGCTTTATCATTTCTCTTTGCACTTTGCAGAGGGATATATTACCTAGTAAATTGTTTACTAAATTATGTTTCGTCTTCAGGAGAAGGATAGTTTCAAGATGGTCCAGAAAAGTTGGATAGGACTAGCTGAAGAACACAGTAGAATAGCCAGGAGAGCATCTGTAGCTACCATGAACTCAAGTCCCGGTTCAAAACACCACAGGAAACGAAGCAATCGCAACCATCACCGTCACCATCACCGCCATCACCACCACAAGGTAAGAACTTGTTAGGATATTTATTGGAGTTTTTTTGAGATTCTCTAGATGTTCTAGAATTTTGATAAAAGTTATCATACAGAATCTAGGGAATCGTTGATGGTTATAATAATGATTTCTTGGATTCCTTTCCTTGTCGATCATGTTTAATGTTTATTCAGTTTGTCTAACAGTCCACCTTTCAGCCGGTACTGGAAGAAAAGTCCCCAGCTTTCTCCCTTGAAACCCAATCTACCGACTCAGAAAACTCTATCGACTTCCAAATCAAAATAAAGGACGACGTCAAGGACAAGGAAGAAGCCTCAGAGGACTCTGATCACATAGCAGATCTACCTTCCGAGAAGTCGGAGAACAAAAACACAACCAACAAAATAAAGAAGACTCTAGCTCGACGTCTTAGTGGATTTTTCTGACAGGAACTGGTTAGGGGACGGGGTTTATAGTGTTTTGTGTTATTAACTTTCCCAACTGCTGCAGAGAACAGAGAGGTGTAGACTGTAGGTCTGTTTAATTGATAAATAATTAAGTAGGAGTATCCTCTAGGTGGTAAATACGGACAGCTCGATATGGTAATTTGGGAACAAATTAGCATAATAAAATACTCACGCATGCCATGATAGAAATTGGGAGATTATTCTCTGGTACTGCTGCAGTTGGGACAGTTTCACGGGATTTGTATTGGTAATCGGTCGTCGGACCGGCCTTTGTTTACGTCGGTCAACTGTTGCAGTTGCACCGCGTGATTTATACCTCCGCGTTTTTACAACATTTTTTTGATAATTATTCTTAATCATCTAGATTTATCATATAATTGTATACTTCGGGTAATAATTGGAAAGGGTCAATCTTGTTTACTATAAAGCGCAGCTGAAATTTGTAGTAACATCGTTCAATTTATTAGTAGAAATTTGTTGAAAAGTTTAAAATAGTTAAAAGAATTTATAAAATAAATTTGAAGGGTTTTAAAATAAATTTCAATTTCTGAGGAAGTAAATGCCAAAAAGGTTATGGAAACATTTCACTGGGTACAAAATAAAATGAGTATCGTTAATACCATACAAAATATTGTGAACGATGTACATTCCATAGTCAACAAATTGTTATATCAGAACACAGCATGTGATAAAATATTACCTAAAAGCTTCGAAATCTATGCTTTTCTATTTAAGAGTTCTTAAATCGAGATTTTAAAAACTTGTGAGCGGAAAGGATTTATAAGGTGGCCATATCAGAGGCGTGGAATTGAAGATGTTTCATGTTCTTGATCAGTGGGTACAATAATTGGATCTATTTGGCTTACCCTGATATGTTCAAAAATATTCAAAAACCAGAAAATAAATTTTTGAAGCTACCATCTTTAATCCCATGAAGAAGTCCGCCAAATTTTATGCTTTTAGGTTATATTTTTGTATTGATAACTGTTATATCCTAGTCAGTTATTATCGCGTTAGACTGTCGGTATCGAAAATTCTTTTATTTTAGACATGAGTCCAGTAATTCTCAGTTGGTTTATCGTGCCTTTAGTTTTAATGTGCTTAGTGTGTGTGTTTACTTCTAGGCTAAATAAAATTAAAGTGCTAACTTTACCAGTTGTCAGAATGTTCAATAAAGCCAACAATTAAGTTATAGTTAAAATTTAAAGACAGTATTTAGATTATTTGCGATTTGACTTAAAATTATATTTATTAGGGTTGGTACTTCTGAAATTGTTAAATTATAAAATGACGAGTGTAATTATAAATTTGATTAATAATTCTCCTTAAGTTAGATTCTATATTTAATGATTTTAGCCTCATTTATTTAACTGCAGTGATATAATACCATTATTAAGTAAGATCCTGCATTTTACTTTAAGTAATACAGGGTCATAATATTAACGCTAAGTTTCGTTTGATAAGTTTATAATTACAGTTAGTTACATACCTCGTATTATTTGTTCACCGAAATCAGAAAATCTAAATCTAATGAAGGTAATTGACCAAAGAATTACTATGCCATTTGCTTGTGAAACTCTGTTGCAGAACAGGCGTTTCAATCGACACCCAATCGACATGAATTGGGACAAATTCCAGTAGAAGTATGTGGTTCCTGGGAGTTGGAGGTCACCACACCAGGTAGGGTGCTCGGTTACAGAACATTCTTAATTAACACCCGTCATGAAAAAACAATAACACCTTAACCCTAAACCCAGCGGCCCCTGATTCCCAGTACGAGCTCGATGTTATGACGAAGAATTACGGGCCAGTGCCATAGGAGTTAGGACTATAAATCTTAGATCTTTTAACAAACAATAAATGGACTTAAGTCTGACGTAATTTACCAACTCTAATTGCAGGTATTAGCATAGGAGATTAGAATAATCAATTTCAATGACTCATGGTACGGTTCATAAAATTTTAATTTGATCTGTAACCTGGCCACGGAAACATCCTAAAAAAGGCTCAAATCTTCCTTATCGTAAACCAATCTTTAGATAATCAGGACTTGGCCGCAGCTCAAGTAACCAGCTTCAAATTTCCGTTCTTTTCCCGTTATTTGGTCGTGGTTTCCATCACGAATTCGTTTCTAGTTGTATTATATCTTGTAAAGTATGGTATTGCCATTGGTAATAGTTTTGTTTGGTCTGGCCCTGGCCGGGTCGAGTAACAGTATGAAGCTGCCTGGCGTGGTTACTGTGATCAACGAACAGTTCTTTGAATCAGGTAAACAGATTGAATCGAGCTTCATGTCAACCTCCAATATGAGATGAAATATGGAAATTGGTGCCCGAATTTATCATAAAAACACGGAATAACTTATATCTTTTCAATATTGGATTTGGTAAACATGACCGAACAGTTAACAACATTTAACTAAAGAATGTGTTTTAAATTTGAAGTCTGGGCGTTCTTTGTTCACTTTTTCATTGATTAATTTTAAAACAGAAATAATCAAGAATATATCAATGGTAATCAATGCAATGATCAATAGTTCCTCACGAGAACAATGCAGTAGGAATTAAAAGCATTTGGCTACGAAGTACGAATTACTGAACCGCAGCCCTGTAGGAGCTGTGATCGATGTTTAACAAAACACGTGACCAACTTTGAACTTAGCTTTGACCTCCCTCAGTAAAAAATAACGAGGAACTGTGGCCGTTGTCCTTCTAAATTTCAGAAAGAAAGTATCCACTCTGGATGCGGATTTTTCCCGATCCATGACTCATGTACCGAAGTCACAAAAGAGTCAAGGACAAGGGTTAGCGAACAAGGTTTTTTTTTGTATATGGTAGCTTGTCAGCTTGTGTCCGTCGTGGCCGTCGTCGTCGTACGGCCTGTCACTCCGCAATATTTGCATGCTTATAAACAGTAAAGCCTGGGGTCCCCAGGTTGTATGGAATATGATAAATACACAATCACGGAGCGGGAAATTGAGCGGCCATCCACAGAAGAAAAGCGGCCGCATTTCTTGTTAGTAAACATATCTCTATATAATCCCTGGCAGGATTTGATTACTAATATAAATACTAATATTAATGTTTTGTACAATTACATCTAGAGACGAGGAAACTGTTTGATGATCTAGAGAAGGAGCTGATAGAGATGGATGATCAGACTGTCAGAGGGATGGATGGCAGACTTAGATGGGCGCTAACCGGGTATGTTAACCTCTATAGTCATTAGTCGCTATTGTAGTCACTACAGTAGTGACTACAGTAGTGACTACAGTAGTGACTACAGTAGTGACTACAGTAGTCACTACAGTAGTCACTACTGTAGTCACTACTGTAGTCACTACTGTAGTCACTACAGTAGTGACTACAGTAGTCACTACAGTAGTCACTACTGTAGTCACTACTGTAGTCACTACTGTAGTCACTACTGTAGTCACTACTGTAGTCACTACTGTAGTCACTACTGTAGTCACTACTGTAGTCACTACTGTAGTCACTACTGTAGTCACTACTGTAGTCACTACTGTAGTCACTACTGTAGTCACTACTGTAGTCACTACTGTAGTCACTACTGTAGTCACTACTGTAGTCACTGCTAGTGAGTTAGTAACAAGGTTAAGTAACAAAAACACGACTTAACATTTCCTACTTTCAGACTGGGAATATACCATTTTAAAGGACCAGAAACAAACGTTGAGATTAGCAGTACTAACGACAAGGCAGTCTTCACCCTAGAGATGGAGGATGCTACCGTTAAAACCTCCTTCAAATGGGCAGCTAGCTATGATCTGTGGCTTACTGACATTAAGATTAGTGGGAGCGCTAATGCTAAGTTGTATCAGGTCGACATGACCAAATCTGTTGCTCTTGGTAAGTTTCTGATTGGTAGTTTGGTAATTGGTGGCAGTTTAGCTTGATTTGAAATCAAACTCTTAAAAAGTAGCTTTTTATAAGATTCTGAGGACTTCGACCTATTTTGTTATTGACTCCGATTATATATCACAAACCACTCTTTAATTTAAATCATCATATGACTGAATATTCTGGTACAGGCATCTCAGAAGCAGGTAAACTGGAGCTAGACGCTAGGAACTGTGAACTAGACTCCTGCTGTTCTCTGGAGATCGACAACATGGATATCAGTGTTTATGGAGGTGTTGTAGCTTGGATCATCGATCAGGTAAGTAGCTACAATACCGTCTCCAGTGCATTAAACAAACAAGCCACGACGAAGGCGATTCAAAAAAAATTTGATCAAAGTTGTAGAATGTAGTATCCTTTGCTCGAAGTATAGCCATTGTAAACTTCGCTCCACTACAAAATACTAATTCAATGATCTCGTGGTCCGAGCCAAATAAAGATGATCTGCAATCAAAGTGCTCAATTCTATATATTAATAGACAATCAAGTTGCTTATTAGTTAACCACTTCTCCAGACGATAGACTGGTGGAAGGGAGAGATTAAAGATTTGATAAGAGAGGAAGCCTGTGCAAGGATAGACGATGTCATTCACTCTGAACGTGAGTTAACATCACTCTCAATAAACCTTATACTGTTTTCTTAAAGCAACAAAATCATTCTGCTACAATTCTTGACTCCATTACAAACTCAACCTAAACGTATTTTCAGTGAACGCAGCGTTAGAATCCTTCCCCTCTACAACAGACATAGTGCACGAGGACCTACATCTGAACTACACCCTGCTCCATCTCGACACTGTGGGGGACTGCCTGATAGTGGGGGTAGACGGGAGTGTAACTCCACTAGCACAGGAGGTGGAGGAGGGGTCGAACAACACGGTCTTTAACGTGACAATCGCAGACATTAGTAACGGGACAGTCACAGAAAACAGTAACGTTTATACAGTAACGCCAACGGAGCTAAGTATCGTGACTTCAGCAGAGGGATCACTACTCGGGGTTGGGGGACACACACCACTTCCAGGTTTGTAAAATAAGTTTCGGCATCAATATTGCTAACACAATGTCCCCTCTTCCATTCAGCTCCACTATAATACACAGCACGTCTGATTTCAGTCAGCGATGGCTGAGGAGGGAGGGATGAGTACTAATTCCTAAATTTCCAGTGAGCGAGTGTGTAGCCGAAGATTACGACTTCAGTACAAGGATCTCACACGGAACAATACAATCTTTGGCAAATTCTGTGTTCCAGGCCGGTCTGCTAGGTTCTTATAATTTGGACAAGACAACAGTAAGTGACCTCCTGCAATTTTTCTCTATGGTAGAGTTACCAGAGTTTCATAAGCTAACTGTAGAGCAGCAAGAACAAGTACTACTAATGTGGAGTTCTTCTTTACCCCATCATCCCTCCCAGATCCAGCGAGTCAAAATGTTCGAGCCCGGCTTCTTTGCTCGAGGTAATGATGAGCTGATGCAGCATTACTTGCTCAACATTGATGTCAACATCACTGGTCCACCCATCGCTTCCATCAATGCAAACAAATCTTGTGAGTTCTTATTGAATATGTAAAAAATTACATCACACATTTAAAGCATATTGCATTAAATGGGGTTAAAAAATGAGCATCCATTAGCCATATTGCGCCAGGTATAGAGATGGATATCCCAACATCAATGGACCTCGTGATGGTGCACCCCAACAAGAGTAAGCAAAAGAAGCTGCTGCTCAAGCTAAACGCTACATTCACGGTTGGAGTTCAGTTTGAGGTGACCAAGGATACAACAATGTTGGAGGATGGTGGCGAGGGTATTAGGGTCAAACTTCAGGGCAAGGTTGTCAGTCTTTAGTGAGTAATCGACCCGTATTTAATTTATCATTCACTTATTTTTTTACCAGCTGAACAATTAAATAATATTGAAAGCTCCATATGCTATCAACGATTGATGAAATTTAAAAGACGGGATACATCAAATTTATTAAGCTAAGACCACACTGCATATAGTGCATGTACCATATCATTGCTGTAGACTATTATATATATATATCAGTCTAGTCGAAAAATGTTAAAAATATTTAAATAATCCCATTCCTGCAGTTCGACGCTTCACAACACGACAGTGACCAAGGAGTACGAGCTAGAACTGAAGCTATCCAGTGTGGGAATACTGCTGGACATGATCCGTGCTAATCTCATCCAGCCCAGGATCTACAAACATCTAGAAAACGGCATTCCTACTAACTTCGGGGACGTCTTCGACATTGACGTGTCTCACTTCAAATATTTTGAGGTATGATCCGACTGCTTTTCAAACGCTTAAAATTCTCGTTTCCACACAAAACCTAAGGTTAAGCAATAAGCATGCTGAGCAAATTTAATTTCCCAATAAGATTGCTACATTAAGTTATATACTTCAACCGATTGAAGTTAAATTATCTGAATGACACGTTCAACGTTTCAGAACTACGTTGAGTTTGACGGAACGATAAACGATTGGACTATGAGCATGTGAAGCTGAAGGGAGCTTTTGAAACTGCCAACTGAAGTATAGCTTTGATAAAGACAATACCGGATACTCCTACCCCTGAGTTACTCAGGAGTAGGAGTATCCGGTGAGTACTGTTCATATTTCCGTGGGATTTTTACTCATATATTAAAATTGTATCTTCCGATTATTATATGAACCTACGGCTACACATATGCAACAATGGGCCAAGTTACTTGGCTCATTTTTTCATTCTGTGGGTGGAAGTCATTAGGATCGGATCCATAGACGCATCTGCATGTGAAATTTGAAGTAAATTTAAGCATGTTTTTGTAAAATCAGTTTTTTTTTGTAGAATGCAATATAACGGGCTATATAATTATAACATGGATCTCGACTTCCACATAAGATAGCTAACATAGCCCACGAAGTAATTACAGTTTTTTGGTCTTCACTGCTTTTTAAAAGCAGGGTGATATGGGCCAAGTCACTTGGCCCAACTTATTTCCAATAAACCATAAACTGATTTGGTCTACGTAACTTGGCCCACCCATTTATAGAACATTCTGTGGGATAGGTAACGTAGACCAATGGGATAGTTTTTCCAGTTTATCTCAAAACTACCAAAAACTTCTTAGCCCATTCTTACATGTAATGTGCAGGTTCATTATATGCTGACCCACGTTGCACGTACGCGATCAGAACGACTCTTAGAATTTATTTAATTTTATCTGAGCAACTAATTATGATATTTTGGGAAACTGGTAATTATTTTGATCATAAGAGTGTTCTTTTTAAACCGATCAGTTTACATGTTTATTGACACACGTTACAACCCCTTTTCAAGCAAAACGTTGCAACGTCCCTTTTCAAGCAAAATAAGAGTGGGTCAAGAGGACCAATAATTTTAAAGAGCCTAAACTATAAATCCGATCAACGAGATAAGTGCAAAATATCATCGTTCATTGTGATTCTGAAAATATCAAATGAAAGGGTTATTTTGAATCGGGCGAAAATCGAAATCACCCTTCAGAAAATCACGAGCTAGGTTTTTATTTATAGACAATTTTGTTCAGAAGATATATATATATCATGATTTTGATTTGTACTGTGCCGCGCCTTCGCGCGAAGACACTTTGTACACAAAAGTGGCGATGCTGCCTCCAGATTCAGTAATTGCAATAGACTATTCCAGAAGGACTTCTGGCTAAATTGGTGTAATTTGCCGATATGAAGCACAGATTCGAGCGTTTTAAGCAATAACTTGTACACTGTTACATACTACGATAAGATTATCTTTCTATCTCTGCAAATAATATGATGGACACTAAATTGATCGTGTGCACAAGTCTGTATGAGTTTCTACGAGCCATAAACCAAACTTGGGATTCCAGCTAGAAAAAGCTCCACATGAATTCTTTCCAAAAATTATTGAGAGAAGAAGTAAAAGAAGTAAGATTAATAAAACTGATAACTCAGTTACACACACTGCTCAGCATTTGTTTAAAACAATAATACCAGCTCAAACATTAACTTCTGTTCGCAATAAAGCAATAGCAACTTGCTGGCATTCTTTCTTTTTGGTATCTAGGGAAGAAACATCTTTTAAAGGATGGTATTTCGATGATCGTATCGTAAAAATCTTAAGAAAGTTACAAACAATAATATTAAAATCAATCATTAGGATATAATACAAAATGTAGAGTCAAAGTAAACCCAGGGATCGTTCACATTTTGTTAGGTATTAGGAGGTCAAGGTCACTGAAGGTTATGTATACGATTAAATAACCTACAAATATCCTGTGCGAAGATTAAATATATATTTTTCAATATGAATGTCCATTGTCCAGGGTATTTACGATGGCCAAAAAGTGACCTTCATAATATCTGACCGATCTCATCAATTCCTAAAGTTAAAGATGAATGAGGTTTTATAAAAATCTTTGTACACATATATTATATAATAATGATCAAGTATATCATGACTATGGATTTATAGCTCATAGCATTTCGAATATAAACAAGAAAATATTGATATTATTAAAACATCGGGCATACTTTCGGACGACGTTTTAAAGAAATAACTGACGTGAAAAATCGCATTTAAACACTCATGTTTGAAAAGTGTTAAAGTTGTCAAAAGCTTGCAGCAAGAATTGAAAACTGCGCAAATTATAGCACCCGCTCAAATAAATAACCCCCATGTTATTATTAACTTATCATATATTAGATATATACAATATACATATATAAACTTAAAATCAGTCTCGTACCCACCAAAAACACATAAGATATCCTGGGCTATTTTATCATTTTCCAGAGTTTAAGTTTGAAACCGAGGATTTCGGATGCCAGCCCGGAGAAAGCAGAAAGAAGGAAGACTCGCAAAAATTGAGAAACAAGAGGGGAAAGGAAGAAGACGGAAGTTTCTCGACTGTCGATCTCTTTTAGAAGTTTTGATGACAACTGCAGTACCTGAAATAGACAACTTGTTAGTCGACAACTTGTTAGTCGATACACAATGTTCAAAATTTAACTCTAACTTTCGGTAAGGTTTAAATGTTAAGAGTAATTAACCATGCTCTGATCTTCGTTTGATAATTGCGATCAATTCAAACCACATTTTCTCCAGACTCTAATTAAAATAAATATAAAATCATCAACCTACACCGCATTTACAAGCCAAATACAAGAAATATCAGCTGATTTATCTGCTCGACCAACGAGTCAAGACAACCCCCGATTACGTAATTATACGGTAAATTAGTCCTCTAATTAGTCCAATATGCGGACATAATATAAAATATATTATTATCACACGTTCCCAGGTTGGGCTGGGTTTACCGTAAACGTGAATATTAAATGACCGATTTACGGATATTAAATGACCGATTTCCTTACACTCCCCTTGATAGTGGCATGCGGAAAACGCGTTAACATTTTATCACCGTGAACAGTGAGATACACTAAGGAAGCAAGCCTGGTGCAGGGATGATTATGCCCGGAATTAAAGATAATCTAAAGAACGCGAACGGTTAATTTTTAAACCAGCTTAGTGATAAGGAATTGTGTGATAATAAGATAAGGAATTGTGCGATAATTATTGTTCGCATTGAAAAGAACTGCGCCCACTGGCAGGGAATCAAAGTGCATTCCTTATCAATAGTGTTCAATAAATTCCAACACTACTTTTCACACTATACATGATGAGCAGTCATACTTATTATTTGTAGTACTGTATGTAAAATATACGAGTGAAACTACAAAAACGTTGGGGGTTCATTACCATTTTGCCTCTGTCTAGAATAAACGGCAAATGACATTAATAAAATCATCCCACCCCACGGACCCCTTCCCATTCCACTGAACTAACCTGGTTAGCCTGCATGAGTTGTTCCTTCTTCTGGGGAGACTGCTGAATGAAAAAGAAGAGGTTAATCTGTTCGGTGATAAGGAGAGAGTGGCTGTCAAACCTCTCGTTTATATCGTTACCCAGAGTGAAGAGACGGAGAAGATAGATGCTGAGGCACATGCTCCAGGCTATTGCGAGCCATGTAAAGTACATGTTCATTGAGTCTCCTCCTGAAGGAAGAGAGAGGAGCTGGTTAGTTGTGGTTTTTTAAAAAGGTTCGTATTTTGTTTTTATAGGCTTATATTATTAAACTATTTCAAATCCTCCATAGATTTTGTGTAGTTATTTAGTTCTGTGCAGTATTGGAACTGTAAATCTTTTAATTGGGGAACCCGATAGAATCACACTAGCAGCTTTCAAGGGGAATAAGAGATGCAAAGCATGAATTCTTAAATGCTAAAGACACACAAGACAAGGGTTTTAATGTTTAGCTATTTTCATGACAGAATCGTGTTTATTATAATCTTTATCAGGCCTTTGCAATTTTCAGGAAAAAACTCTCTCCAAAAAGAGGCTGAAAATTGTTTGCTCAGGGACACGTCACGTCTCGTACAGCGGTCCACCTTTTAAATCGGTCCGAAATTTTACCCAGTTTGTTATACCCAGATAAGATAATCACACCCGCAAAGTCTGATAGTCTCAGTAGAGATAACATTGTAATCACACACTCAGATAATAGATTATCTGTAATATTAATAACACGTATATATCACACTGTTAACCCACGTGCAGTTTCGTCCTCCAGCTCCACTACTATCAGTTGCTCTACACACACGGTTTTGAAGTTAGTAAAACAGTCATAGCTAGTCATAAACAGTCATAAACAGTCATAAACAGCCATAAATGGAGGCAATACTCATATTTAGATATACGCACACGTTTTAGCGTTAGTAAGTTAGTTAGTTAGTTAGTTAGTTAGTTAGTTAGTTAGTTAGTTAGTTAGTTAGTTGGTTAGTTGGTTAGTTAATTAGTTAGTTAGTTAAGCATTTAGTAAGTAAAACGGAGCATTAGTCGTGGTTAGCTCACATTTTTTATTGAAAGATTTTAATTGAAAATGTTTTTTAAGTTTGTTAACTATTGAGATATTATTTGTTTCATTTCGGACAAAAATAGGTGATATGAATCCTCTCAATTTCCGGTCTGTTAGTGCTACAAGTCTGCATGCTGATTGCTGACATTGTTAGGTTATAACTACGGATACGATAGTAAAATGGAAGATATGAGAAGGAAGAACTTTATATTAAGGTTATAACAAGGATAAGTTGTCTCTATACGTAACAATTAACAGGTTGAAATATTATCCAAATATGTTCCGAGAATTGTGAGACATATAGGGGCGGGTGTGGCTCCCTGGAAATATCTCCTCATTTGTAAGTCATGATGTTCCGTAGTCAGATACCAAACAAGATTGCTACAGTTCATAACTAATATATTATCCTACATTGTATATAACACTAAAGTTCCGGGTATAAGTTCCGGTTGGCGTGGCGCCAAACATCCCAGGAATTGACTCCACCTAGCACAAATGAGCATATATGTATAGTGTAAAGTGTATAGTGTATTGTAGTAGAATAGAGTAGAGATAGTACCCTAGTAACCATGGTAACCCTGGTAACCTTAGTAACCCTAGCCTAGTAACCCTGGTAACCCTAGCCTAGTAACCCTGGTAACCCTACTTCTAACAATGTACAATAGTCTGTAAACTCCAGCACTGTATCAGTTGTGATAAGAGAGAAGCCGTGTGGGTGAGATGTGAAGAAAACATACAGTTTGTATTAGAGGGACGGGGTGTGTGTGTTTTATCAAGCGAGACTAGGTAATCTATATCAGACACTATTGTAGATCGTATAATGTAACACGCTGCAGCTGAAGCTGTTGAATCCGGTAAATCCCCATAAAGTCGAACAAGACACACTAAATCTGCACGTGTCTAATTTTAATTACGGAGAACATTGATTCTTTGATTGGTCCCTGGAGAACGTCCGATCTGCATCGAGTTGAAATTGTGCAGAAGTCAAAGTCAATCATCCTGATTAATATAAGCCGTTTACTGGACATAACAATAAGACCATGTCCAGGGGAATACAAATTAATTAGACACATCTATCTTCGTACTATAAGTATACTGTTGAATGCTGATTCAACAGAACTTAAAACACCCTCAATCAGTAAATAACTCCCAGTTTTACGACAACTTAGCAGACTTCACTGCACCAGGGATTATTAAAAACTTGTACCACCAGTCAGTAACCACTACAGACTAGTAACCACCACTGACAAAACACTTAGGCAGTTACCTGGTTAACATTCCAGTAGTTTATATAAACGAATGGAACATCTGTATAACAATACATCATCTGTATAAATACTTATAATGTTATAGATTTTACAGATGTTATAAATCTGTATTATATTAATAAACTGTGCGCGCTGTAAATCATTCTCCAGTTTTGGTAACATAATACAAGATAAGATACACTTACATTGCTCATTGCAACAGTCACACTATTGATACTCCTCCTACTCAACCGTATGTGTGTATTTTACCTGTCACGTGACATGTTCCATCTATAATGTATCAGAGACAGCCATTAGGTCAGAACAGTCTTCATGGTAAACAGATCTATTGTATCTGTAATCAACACACAAAAGTCTCACCAACACATGACTCCAATCATTTGATACCATGCAGATTGCAGTTCATGATGGCACCTTGTCCAATATCACATTAGTGATAATATGATACACTGTGTCAAGTACAGAATACCAGAATTTTGCGACGTCTTTGTAACAATTACACTATTCGCAGAATCCTCCTTCCGTTTAAGTACAATTATTACAAGACAACGTCAGATTCAGTAAAATGGTTACTTACTACTTAGTGGTTAGTTAGTGGCCTCACTGGTCGAATGCTTATTACAACCTACAAATTTACAGGACGCCACGTCTTGGTACAAGCAGGACCGGTTATCTCCCCGGTTATATATTGAGAAGATGAGGTAATGGCAAGGTGAGTCCTGAGAAGTGGACTAACGGTTGTAGTTGGCTGTCCGTATACACGCAATATGTCAGGGTTATTACAAGCAAATCAGGCATATTACATACATGAAATCTCACAGTAACTTATTATCTTAGACTTTTGAACAGGATATGAGGATATTACGGCAACTTGATGGCGGCAGTTCCCTAAATACAGTCATGTTTGATCGTTTTATCCAGTATAGAATATAGATCTGTCTATATTTAATAGGTTGTTTGTAGAACCTCGTGAGTTCGAGACAGATACAAGAAAACATTTCAATAATATATTAAGCCTAAGGGCTAAGGCTAGACCGAAAAGTCCTTGTTGGGGGCAATGACATCGTCTATAAAGGGAAGGGTGACATCGTCGTAACATTTGATAATTTAATCTACGAAATGAGCCCCCTGCAACTGAAAAAGCACATACGCGATACATTATCCCATTTATAAAAACAAAAATGTCCCTATTCATATTGTAACGTGTACAGCTAGAATTTATCTATGAAAATTGTTCAAAAACCAAAGTATGAGACGTGTGGTTCGTCCTCCATAATTAATGAGATAGTACAAAGCCTTTTTCAATTTGATCTAAACTGATTTGTCTTAACATAATGCCTTATACTTTTACAAAGCAGCCCTGATATACCCACATCTCCACATCTCCAGTTTACACTGTGGCCTGCAATATGCTTAGACCAAGTTATACCTAGTATTATAGACTTAGTGTATAACTTAGTGTATAACTTAGTATCATAGTATAAGGCACATAAACCAGTCCTCTCAAGATAATAGAGGTACAATAATCTGCAGTTACCCGTACTACACAGTTTAATGCAGACAACTAAATTCAAGCTATCTGCACAATACAGACTACTTGAATTTTAATACTGTCAATTTAAGCAAGTTTGCTAAAATATTTGTTAACGCCTCTCCCTGTTGTACGTACGAATAGACAAATATTCAACAATCATATAGCATTACAAAACTGTACAACATCCCCCTGCTGTTGTTGTGAAGGAGCTAGCTAAAGTGCGCCCAGGTGGTGTTTATATTGAGGTACATGTTGCTCTTTTGTTGAGTAAAGTGTAAGCTAACAAGGTTCACAATAACAGATACTTAGCGTCAGCTCCAGATGCCGAGGACTAGATGTGTAGTGAGGAGCAGGGGCTGTAATTACAACTATAATTACCATTTTTAATAGATCTACAGTGCAACTTTTAATTCAGCAACTTATTACAAGGAAATTTGTCTTCCTGCTATGATGTGAGTCAGTTGATCTAAGTTATGCCGTCTGGAAATGGGTGATTACAAAGCATACCGTGGAATTCGATGTCAGTTTGTTCAATAATAGGGAAAATATCTACTAAACCTTCACTTTCAGTACTACACATGTAATGGGTATCTTATGTTTCAAGTTATAAACTTAAAGTTATAAGTTGGAATCTTTAAAATTCTATTTTTGTGTTTAATAACAGGTTTACGGTAGAGCGTAATATATTAAATGTGTTTAGTTAAATAAATGTTTTATGTGTTTAGTCATAACTCATATTCCAATAAATAATATGAGTTTAACGTTAGTGTAATTCAAGTAAAGTCAGACAGGGAAATCGGGTTCTGTCTAAGTTTGGTCGGCTAATCTGTCAAAGGACAAGAAGAACGACTTTCACTAAATATTACCTAGGTTACTAACTAAGTTTACATGGTATGATTTGTTAAGCTATTTGTTAAGCTTCATACCACGTCATATTAAATAAAACTTATAAGTGCTGTTTGACCCTGTGAAAATTAGCCATAACACTAAACATGGTGATAATCCAGATATTCGGAAATGACCAAGAAATGTTTAAAAAGAGTTGCACTGACTTAGAGGAATCCTGAAATTTAAAATAAAACCTACAGATTTGTATCATAAGATGACGGTTTGAGAGTCACATGAATAAACTTAACGTGGCCACTTTTAAAGTCTGATCCTAAGATAAAGCATGCTTGTATACATATGGTTAAAGGATGCCGCTTCTAAATGACACATACTAAGTCACAGATCACAGATCACAGATCACAGATCACAGATCACAGATCACAGATCACAACTACATACCTTTACTGAAGAACTGGACACAGACCACGGTCAGGATGGTGAGCATGATGAGGAAGGAGGAAGTAATGATGATCCCTACACTGCGCTGTGGACCAACTCTCCGCAGGACGGAGCGGAGTGATAACCACGCTTTTATATTCTGAGAAGAAGCGTATTGTTAGTTATTTATTACGGCGGAGTTTGTTGTATTATTATTATATTGTCAGCAAATTGTGGGAAGTGGAATCTAGAAAAGCACGCACTGAACATATATCTTTAGGATCTAAGTTCTGTAAATTTAACATGAATTAATGTTTAAAACCTGAATAAAGTACTGTTACCTAATCTGAACTAAGTACTACATCAATCTTAATACTAATTAATTTAAATAAAGTACTACCTGGATGCTTCGTAATCTGAAATGGGGTAGTCCGTACTGCTTAGCACGCCTCATTGTTGTGAGTGCGTTAAAGAACTTGGCGTACAGGTATCTTTGTACATACGTTCGTTCAGCTACCTGTGTAATGAACTTCATTAAAAATGGATGTAACAGATGAAACAAAAAGACTTAACAGACCATTAAAGACCGTCGAGGCCATTGAAACAGACTTTAAAATGGACGTAACAACTGGCGCATGGAACAGACTTCGGTGAAATCAATAGTTCAATAATTGCTACTGTATATCGCTACATGACAAATTGCGGCTGCATCTTCTGCAGGAAAACAAAATAATACTCAATGTTTAAACCGCTCTTTTGCAAAATTCATCAGCAGTTCTATTGATAAACTTTAAAACGTTGATATTTACAAGAAAACATTTTAAGGAAAACAACAAACATTTCAACCACTCATAAAAATACTCACCACGAAGAGGGTAAAGAAGCAGCAGGAGAGGGACATACTGAGGACGAACCCTATTATGTGGATTAGCTGGAACTCTATCGGTTCCTCGTACAACTCAATTATAGAGGCTTGTACTGCTTTTATACTGAATCCAGACTGCACCTGCAATGCAGAGGGGGTCAATGAGGGGTTTTGTGGATGAGAGGGGTCAATGAGGGGTGTATTATGGTCATGTGAGGGGTTGTTTTCAAGTCATGTTATCGAAGAAAAATAATTGTTGTCGTTTGAAATGTTCAGTGGATTGCTGATTGGCGGTTACTGATTAATGATGGCTGGTTGTTAGTGATGACCGTTTGTGCTGGATATCACAACTAAGCTCACTCAGCAACTGTAGATATCTTAATACTAGTAGATATCTTAATACTAGTAGATATCTTAATACTAGCTTCTTTATTATATCTCCAACATAACATCATGTGACTGTAATATTGTAATAAAGTTATAAACATGCCAAATCACATGCTCCTTAAGTAAAACAGTGTCTAGTTAAGACTGTCTCCCACGTGCGTGTTAAACACAGGACGTCAAACTAGACAGTTAGACAAATCTAGAGTTCTGGCTGGAAGCCAAGGTTGAGGTTAAAAGGGGAATGACCAATTAGTGTTTAATTTCCTGTTATAGAAGTATAATTAGGGAACTTCCTTGTTTTGTAGAGTAATTCCTAATCCACTTACACTTCACGATAAGATTGTCCTGATTATGGCTATTTGTGAGGGGTAAAATACAGAAAGTTTTTCTTCATAATTCTATACATATAAAGAGGCAGTAAAACTAGCGAGCTGCGATGAATGGGGACTTGCAACCCCATGGCAACATAAAATATATCGGCTCTGTTACATCGCTTCCTGTTAATGCAAATAATATGATGTGGGTGAAATATTTCTGAAATATTTCTGAAATCAACAAATCACAACGCCTGAAATATAACAGAACCCTAGCCTAGCCCTAAACGGAAATGAGATCTAGAAGAAACTCTATCTGGGCGTAGTTCATAACAACCCACCACAAATTGAATTTGAAATTTGATTAAAATGTCCATTAGAAAACAAAATTAAACATCATTACGTAATTCCTAATATTTTATTATTTAGAGGGTAAACTCAATGTGTCGTGTTGATTATTATATTACGTCTAAAAAGATTAGTGCAAGCTCTGCATTTTGACTCTAACTGATGTATCCAGTTCAAGTTAGCACTAAATATTTGGACTTTCCCACGTTTTGAGCTCTAAAATATTTCACAGTTATATCGACATGCTCTAATTTATCACAAGAAACTGGCCGTTGTTAAAGCTCGTTCGGTGGAGTACATCAAGAAAAACGTGAACGGGCATTTAGGCCACGAAAAAATGCCAAGCTGGTTAAGCTAATACAAATATGGAAAAATTTGAAGTAAATTGAAGACTGCACAAGAACATTAAGTACCCAAGTAAGTTTTAGAATTAGTTAATCTTAATCTTATAGTAGACTAGATTATTTTTCTATATTCTTATTAACTCTCAGTACATGAGACTAGTTAATGATGATTAAAGAGATGGATATAATTATACAGCTCTACTAGTAGCGGTAGCACGATAAGGAGCAGCGTGGTGGTCTCTCAGCTTGCGGTAAAACTACTTGTTAGTTGTCAAAACACATTTAAAGATATCCAGACCTAATTTTAACTTTCTATTGCTTTCTTTACAAATTTTCCGTTTTTTCCGCAGACTTCAGTACGCCTATCAAGTAGCTACTTTACGGGGAATGTTCCGGAATGAAATGTTAAAGTTGAGAAGTTGGGAATATTTTTACTATCAGCAACAGATTCATGTACTCTAGTTCGACACGTACTGAGTACTCTAGTTCGACAGAGTCCAACTTTAGGGTTTGTCGAACTACAGTACGTGTCGAACTAGGGTACGTGTACCTCAGCAACGATAATTTTTAAGTGATTTTGCTAGTGATTTTATCTCATTCAATTACAGATAGGTTAAGACATAAATTAATAAACTCATTAAACTGGTGACAAATGAGCCACTTAATGAAATTTTATTGGTAAGGTACAGAATTGTAAGCAGACCTTCCATTCTAACTGTGTTAACCTTGCTGGCCTCACAGCAACTTCTCTAAAGAAGCTCAGCACTTCCTGGAAGTGCCCGGACTGCTTTATCTTTCCTTACACAAGAAGATTGAAGGAGGAGGAAAAATCCAAAGCGTTAACAGAATTCTTTAGCAATATTTCTAAGATATCAAAGTGTAATGAGGAACTCAAAGAAAGTACAACAACCATAGAGTTCTTCAACGAGCATATCAAACACCTCATACTCAAGGAGGACAGTTGTTTCAAAGAACACTCCAAAAGAACAGAACGATTAGTGACTGGAATTGAAGATATCACTGAAGACATAGCTTCTATCAAGGGTGTACTTACGAAAGTAAAGGAGAGTGGCTCAGCTCTTGAGACAACCAGCAACTCTCTCAAACAGGAGATTGATGGCCTGAAGGACTCTCTCAAAAATATACCTATGACAGAGCAACCTCCGACTAACAGCAGTACTTTCGATCATGTTGACAACCTGATGACCCAGATCAAAGTGCAATTGGAAAAGATCAATGATCATGTATGTCCCTCAACGTCCACACAGAACTTTGATGAAGGTGAACTACGTTACAATGAATCTATCCTTATGACCCCTAACACTACTTCTCCTCACTTTGCTGCATCTCAAATTCCTGAAGGCCCTGCATGTGACCCTTATCTAACTTATCAGGAAGATATAGTGCCTGTTGAGCTTCACAGCAAACTTATAAAGCTGCTGGAGGACAATAGTGCGGATTTTTCTTCGGTTGGTGGCAGCAGGGATGTTGTCTACTTTGGTGAACATGGATACTGGTACACAGGAGCCTATCATCAGGCAAAGGAAACTCCACCGGAGATACAAGATCTTTTGGACTGTGTGCGTCCCTCTCTCCCCAATAGGAAGAGCTGGCTGAACTCTTGCCTTGTTACAAGATATACAGGCAATAGTAGCCATATCCCCCAACACTGCGACAATGAGGTTCTTATTGACCCAGAATCGATAATAGTCACTGTGTCCCTTGGTGAAGAACGCACAATAAAGTTCACACATAAGTCGACTGAAAAGTCCTTAAAGCTCAAAGATGGAAGTGTATACGTGATGTCCAGAATGTCCCAAGAAATCTGGAATCATGGTATTGAACCCCTCGCTAATGAAGAAGATGGCGAGGAATCTGAAGAGAAAACTTCTGTGAGGTACAGCTTTACCTTTAGGCATATTGCGCCTTTCTACAAAAATAGCACAGTGTTAATTGGAGACTCAAACACTAAGTACATTAAATTTGGTAAAGATGTTGGAACTCTAGGAAAATGGGTTCCCGGTAAGCGAATGTGGGCTGCTAAAATCGACGATATTCCTGCTCCCAAAGACATAGGCCCCTTTCGGAACATTGTTATACATACGGGAATCAATGATATTCGAGATGATTCCAACAGACCATCCACTAGAACACTTATTGCTAAGCTTAAGAAGAAATGTTGTGAAATTCAGCAATTTTATCCTAATAGTAAAGTTCATATTAGTTTACTCTTGCCCACCAAATCACAGTTTGTTAACTCACGTATAGGGGAGTTAAACAGTTTAATTGTCGACATGGTTTATAATAGGAAAAACATGTTTATTATAGATAACTCTGTACTAGGTTCTGTTAACGGATGTATGCCCTCTAAGTATGGTAGATTCTCACGTGATGGCACACCATTGGTCAATGATGTTGTTCATCTCGGGAGAGAAGGCCTGAAAATATTTTGTATGAACATAAAACGGTGTATTGTACAACGTGGTGGAAGTCAGTCCACGGAAAGATTTAAAGGTGGAAATGGTGACTATAGGAGTGCCCTAAGTAGGGGTAGTACGGGTGATATCTTACCGATATGACCTCAATAAACTTCAATATTACAAGAGAGAGATGTCCAGGTTGTGATAGCAATGTACTAAGCCATCATAAAATCATAATATGTGAGAGTTGCGATACAATATATCATGCCAAATGTTCTGAACAGAGTTTTAAATTTGATCATGTTAAACAAATGTGGCACTGCAGTCAGTGTTACGCCTTCAAATCCCAAAGGTACAATCCTTTTAACTCAATTATTTATGACAAATATGATCCCAACACTGTAGAAAGAGACGAGGATATGGAGACTATTTCAAACATTCTAAAAGACTGTAGGTATTATAACATGACAAATTTCAACCGGCTGTCAAAAAACATACTTAACCATAACAAGCCGTTTATATCTATTGTGTTTAACAACATTGATGGGAACGCATCTAACTTTGACAGCTTTATTACTGATATGAGTCAATATGATGAGAAATTTGCAGTTATTGCGCTAGCTGAAACAAACATTAATGAGGAAAATAAAGATCTATACAAAATTGATGGTTACAGCAGTGAGTACAACTCTAAAACTGATGGGAAAAAGAAAGGTAGTGGCCTTGGTATATATATTGACAATCAGTACCAATACAGCCGAATCGAAAAGTTATGTAAATGCTCTGACAATCTTGAAACACTTTTCGTTGAGATCACTAACACAGAGGTTCCACAGATTGCTGGTGTTGTTTACAGGCCCCCTAGTGGTGATATTCAAGATGCACTTGCTGAGCTTGATGTGTTGATGAAATTTCTACCGTCTAATAATGTAGCCTTGACAGGTGACTTCAATGTTGATCTTTTGGCCCAGGGACGAAACATAGCTTAATTTGAACAAACTATCTACAGTAACAATTTAATCCCTTTGATATCGATTGCCACCCATGCCAAGCCGGGTTGCAATGAAAGCTTAATTGATAATATTTTAGTGAACTCTACTGAGCGTGTGTTAGGATCTGGAATTCTTGAATCCAAGATTTCCCATCATAACCCCATCTTCTGTTTCATATCGTGTAATATTAAAGAGAGTTCAAATACTGCCAAACTTAAACCTAAGTATGATTACTGTGAGTCTAATATAGAAAGTTTCCTTAATGATATTGGAAAGGATATCTGCCAATCGAACTTTACGTATGATGAGGAAGGTTTTGAAAAATTTGTCGAAACTGTCCACGAAAAAATCGAACTGAATTTCAAAGTGGACTGTACTGCTGGTTTTCAATCAAAACGCAATAGATTGATGAATCCATGGATCACTTCTGCGTTAATTAAATCTGTGTTTACTAAAGGCTTTCACTACAAGCGATGGAAGGCTTCGTGTACCAAAATCAACCCATTAGGTGAGGAAACTTTATATCTTAAGTATAAGGAGTATCGTTCTATCTTAAACAAAGCTATAAAATCTGCGAAAAAAGCCCACTATGGGAAAAAATTTGAACTTGCTAAAGGAAATATAAAAAAAACCTGGGAATTGATCAACGAACTCAGGGGTAAATCTAAAAAAGATATAAAAGCATCATTCTTAATTGATGGTAGAATTGTAACTGAACGCCGTGAGATTGCCAACGGATTTAACATCTACTTCTCGTCTATTGCTCGTAATCTTAATTCAAAAGTTCAATCTTCTGTACCATCTCGTACGGTAACTGATGGCAATTTCAATAAAACGAAGTTTAAACAATACCTCAAGGGCAGAGAAAGAATAGTGAACTCTTTTTTTCTCAGCCCCTGTGACGAGGAAGAGATAAGTAAAATTATTGGTAGCCTTGAAAATGGGAAGGCAAGTGATATCTCTGTTAAAGTCTTGAAAAAGAGTGTAAATTATCTGTCTGGTCATATCTCTAGATTCTTTAATTGGTTCTTGGACAATGGGGTCTTTCCAAACAAGCTTAAAACGGGCTCTATTACACCAATTTATAAAAAAGGAGACTCACGATGCCTTGATAACTATCGACCTGTTTCTACATTACCGATATTTGGCAAAATACTTGAAAAAATAATTTATAATAGGTTATATAATTACCTCAGTGCTATGAACGTGATTTATGATCGACAATTTGGTTTTAGAAAACAACACTCAACATCTCATGCCGTAAACTATTCTGTCAATAAAATACTTAATGAGATTGAACAGAAAAATCATGTAATTGGAATATTTATTGATCTAAGTAAAGCATTTGACACAATTGAGCACGATAAACTCCTGCATAAACTTGAACACTATGGAGTAAGAGGTATTGCACTAAAAACTCTTGCTAGCTATCTAACAAACCGTAGCCAAGTAACTTCTTTTCAAACTGAAAAATCGGACAAGTGTTCAGTTGAGTATGGTGTACCCCAGGGGTCAGTGTTAGGACCTCTACTATTTCTGATTTATATAAATGATATTGTGAGCTCCTCAAGTTTGGCTGAATTCGTCCTGTTTGCTGATGATACAAATATTTTTGTGATAGGTCGTTCAGCACAGGAAGCTTTTGAAAAAGCTAATCATGTAATGAAACAGGTCAGTAACTATATGGAGTCTAACAAGTTACATATAAATGCAGGGAAAAGTTGTTTTATGCATTTTCAGCCAGGTTTGTCAAGAGCAACACAGACCTGTGCTAGAACACGGCCCTTTAACAGGAATCTAACGATTTCAATAGATGGCAAAAAGCTAGAAAAAGTTCAATGTACAAAATTTCTTGGGGTGATAATAGACGAACAGCTATGTTGGGAACCACATCTTAATCATTTATCTTTAAAGCTGAACTCCAGTATTGTATCGATTAAGAGAATTTGCAAATTCATTCCCAAATCTGAATATTTGAAACTATACAATGCTCTTTTTATGTCACATCTTAGCTATTGTATAAGTTGCTGGGGTGGGATCCCTAAACATAAGCTGAATAAAATCTTTGCTATTCAAAAACGATGTATACGACTGCTATTTGGTAACATTCCCAATTTTGATCATAAAGAATACTACTTAACCTGTGCACGTTCAAGAACGTATAACGAACATATGGTCAAGTTCGGAGACAACCTGTACATAAAATCAGTCACTTATTACACTCATTTCACTGCCACAAATGGTAAGATTAATTATAATTCCTCTGAAAGTCCAAGGGGTACAGGCTCTTCAGATATTATACTCCTAACCTTTCTATAATGATATCTGGGTTCAAAATTTAAATAACTCAACCTTGGTGGAGACAGTGGCCACCTGAAAATTACAAAAATAAAGGAGCTGTAAATCACTTATGAAAAAAATATTTACTCCAAATTTCACAATTTAAAGTTACGTAAGACAGGTGGGTACTCAAAAAGTGCCGGTTGAGCAGGTTTGTCTGCTCAACACAGGTGGAGCAGCTCACTGACTACATGAGCTAATATAAGTGACTAGAACTAACCCTCTCATGCTTTTTAATTGCTCCAAAGTCCTAATATTTAATATTATGGGTTATACCAATCATATTTCATAGAATAGGATCCTCAGAATCGGCTCAACCGAGGTGGAGACAGCATAACATGCAGTTCAAAATCTGTTATTCTGTAGTTTAGGAGCTGTAGAGTGACTGTGGCAGTCCATTTGCAATACCAATGATTCTAAATCATCTACCAACTCATATTACAAGGCATCCTTGCTGAAAAGTACACTCAACATAGGTGGAGACTCAAATTTGGCAAATTTGGGCGTAAATTCGACCTCAGAAGTCAAGGTTCTCCACCACGGTTGAGTGGTTGATGGCTAGTTTGATGAGTTGTATACATGCTAAAGGGTCACCCAATGTAATTTCTTCCAGAAATCAACTGCCAAAGCTAAACTCAACCCGGTGGGGCCAGTTTTAATGCATTTTTAATGTTTTGATGTTTAATCAACAATTTCTCCACCTTGTTGAGCACCTTTTCACAACTTTGATAGTTTTTTCATTTGCTAGAACACTTTGCTTTAAGACAGAAGAGGTAACAGTTTTATGATCCCCTACAGTTGCAGTTAACAGAGCAGATTAAAATTAGTGATAAAACCAATGAATTTAGGCATGTTTGACAGGCTTTTTACTGTTTCTTAATGAAAGATCTCCACCCTGTTGAGCGTCAATGGAAACAACAAAATTTAACGGGAAGTAGAAAAGGCCGAGACGCAACTTTCTAGCTAACCTAGAACTCTCTAAACCTTTTTCCACCCCCGGTTGAGCAGCTTTGAAAAGTGCATTTAATTTCTCCACCTCGGTTGAGCACTTAAATAAAATATTGAAAAAACCATCAGATTGCAAATTTGATGTAGTTTGTGTTACCAATAACCTTTTCCACCTTAATCAAAAGTTTCTTCAACCAGAGCCAGTCTCCACCTTAAATCTCCACCTTTTAAGGGTTTGTTTAATACCACCTGTATCTGCTCAACCGTTCAACCTTTTAATTTTGTTTTTTTACTCAGAGAAAGTCCTCAAAAATGTTTTGTCAGCCATATAATCAGGGAGTTTCATTCTGTGTTGAGCTGGCTCCACCACACACTTCTAAAAAAGTAAAAATTTATGTACAGGTTGTCTCCGAACTTGACCATATGGCTAAAAAGAACTACTGTCTTGAACACACTAAACCGCTATTCACTGAGCAGAAAATTATGAACCTGGAGAATCTGCACATGTACCATACATTTATGGAGCTATTCAAAATTCTTAAATTTGATGTCCCCCAGTCGATTAAAGATCTTTTCAAGTTCTGTCCTAGAAATGAAAAACTTCGTCTGATTGTCCCATTACTGAGGTTAGATATCTCCCAACAGAACTTTTTGTACACCTCTACGAAAATATGGAATGATCTCATCCCCTATGTATTCGAAATATGTGATGCTAATGTAGATGGGATAATAATCCCGGGGTCTTCCAAAAATTCAGACTTATCAGCCTCGTCAGGTATTATTAAATCTAACCTTAAAAAGCACTTGCTATCCCTCCAAAATCGAGGTGACCCTAATATATGGTAACTAATCTATATTATATCTCAAATTCTACATCTGGTACGGCTCTGCACACATGATATCTCTCTCTGCTATGAAACATGGCTAACCTTTCAAACTATGATTTAAAACATAAACCTAAACTAAAACTCAACTGGGCTCTCCTATGTCACCAAACTAGACCAATAAGCAATTTTAGCTTAGATAATTATATTTTTCTATATTTGTATAATAAGTTTTATATTGACGTAGTGGATGGTTGAGGGGGTTTCAAGCACAGGTCACTCTCAAATCCTAAAGATAAGCAGTGGCCTTCGGCACTTGAAACCTCTTCAAACCTCCCCTGATTTATTTATTATTGATATTGTTTGATTGTGCCGTAAAAATAAATATTTGTTTTATTAAAAAAATATTTGTTTTATTAAGAATTATAGAACATAAATGTAATCAGCAACTAGTTCAGGACTTACTCATTTATTAAATAATGCTATTTAAATGCAATCTTGCATAATGTCATTATTTCTATGTCGTAAGTGCAAAGTATGTTACTTTTTTGATTATATGTGTGCACAAATAACTGCAATTTGACTATTTTCATGCAGCAGTGGCCAACAAAATTTTATTATTCGCCAACGAGAGTTTTTTGTATTTAAGAACAAAAATCGGTATTAAAGTATTAAAGGTATTTTACAGTTAGATTAGAACTGCGACAACATTATGTGTAATTAAACCATGAGCTCTTAAACCAGGTGGTAGAAATTACAAACATAATATTATTATTGATACGACAGAGATAAGGATTATGTATTACAACGTGTTTATTTACTTTAGCTTTGGGGCCGTAGCTGAGTGTGTCCCATATCCTAGCACCTTGCCTAGACGTTCCACGGTCCTGGACCTATACAGGCGAGTTTACTCGTCAACCAAACCAAGAATATACATTTACTACAATAATGTGCCCGTGTCAAGAAAAACAGGTAGAACAGGCGAAAAACACGGTACTTACATCGGCGTTGTGTGCTCTGAAGACGAAGGGAAGGAAGGACATAATGAAGGAGAGTATGATTCCTAGCCACACGTACTCCAGACTTGACTTTACACGCTCCTGAGAGATGCAATTTAGTTGTGTTATACTGAGGGATGTGTAAACAAACATTGCATTGATATACTTTTTTTAAAGTTTCAAATCAAAAATCAAATCATATTGTAAGTAATCAATAACAATTAGTGACAGCATTGATACTTGATAGCTAATGAAACACTTTAGCTTTCTATGATTTAAATTGATAAGTATAAATTATCACACGCTGTATTTTGCTTTGAACCTAGCATTTTGGGCGACACACAATTGATGGATTGACATTATGAGATTTACTCAGAATTGAATTAAGATTCTGAGAATACAGACGCTTCAGCTGAGACAGAAGTTCCACGGCAGGTCCTGATATCTGGATATGTGTTATACTATAGAGGGACACGTGACAGTAGAGAGATACCTGTCAACATGTGGTATGTTTAAAACTATTAGCTGTATTCTAGCATCTTCCTTTTTACTAGCCAGATCTGTGTTAAATGTGAAACTTTGGCGTTAAGAACCGAGAATTAGCGCAACTTCAAAGAGTTGCTCTCCACGTGGAATTGGGAAACAGACTTGTTCTTTAAAGCTTTTAAATTTAATGACACTTTTTTCGTTTTGGTTAAGGAATTTTTGAGGTTTGTGAGAATTTCACAGAACGCTGTGATGAAAGATAATGTGGTTCATGGATTAGTCCTACAGTACAGTTCACAAGCAGGAAAGTATTAGGTCTATTAGATTTTAAGGCTTCTTGGTAGCTTGCTGCTGGACATTTAGGCACACTTAGGACAGTAGAAGGCTTTTAACGGACACATATAAACGGTTGGACCCTTCTAATGTACCCTTGCCCTTGAGGGGCACTTAACGTATATTTAATCTAGAGCACGAATATCAATCAATGTTGTTCACACACCAGATTTCTACAGAATACGCATTACTAAAAACTCTTAGTTACAGTGGGGTGCCATATGTTTTCATCATTCCTGAATGCGCGCATATTAGCGCGCATTTTAGCGCGCAAGTTTGCGTGCACGTCACGTGATATTGTTAGCAGTGAGTGCAATTACGAGTCTGTTTAAAACCCACCACTTTAGATATAATCTGATATCCTATCTCAAGGGGGCTCATCTCAATCTTAACAAGCTCATCGTTCAGCCACACTTTCACTCGTATCCTCTCTGTGCGGCTGTGGTCTGTTATACTGTCACGGTGTGCTGCTCCGGCTACTCCACCGTTCTCTAGCCTCTCACCACTGTAAATTATAGGGAATTTAGTTCTAGATAAATACTACGTTCTCTAGCCTGTTTTATTTTTAGAATTTTGATTTGATAGTGGGGTAGAAAACATGGAACTAGAAGTACTGTCTGACCTAGGAAACTTAAACAGCCTCATCGTTAGTGGAAAGTTTAATTGTATAACCAGTGGACCTTTAGAGAGTGGACCTAAGAGAGAGCTGAGTAAGGATGATATTGATGTACTTACAAAACTACCATAAAATAAAAATAAAATGGGAGAAAGAGTGGGTTAAAGTTGCAACATATACCCGACACTTATTTGATAAACTGTTATTTAGTCAGGTGGATTTACGTCAGGCCGCTCGAGTAATACCACGCTTAAACTCAACTTCCAAGTTACACTTCCGGTCAGTCAGGATTGAGGGTTACTGATTTGTCTGTGAGCTGTAATTACAAGCCGGAACGAAGCCTGAAGTGACGCGAATGGCCCTTAGTCTGCGTAAGCTTAAGATCATCAAAGTATCTTAGATTTAACCAGAGCAGTTATTTAGCTTAAATAGCTTATAATATAAAATCCAAATACATATTTGAGGAATGGATCTCAAGTCCCAGGAAGCCAAGAAGCGGTTCCCTTTAATACCCAAATTAGCCAGTTCTAGTAGTTCCACATATTTCTATTCCACGATCAAGTCAAGATTCCGAGCCTTGCTACAACTCAACTGGTATGGGACGTTGCCAGGTTTGTAGATGATTTCACGGCGTGACGGAAGGTATTCCGACAGGTATATGTCCAGACTAATACTTGGAAGAATCCTCACAAAATCCGAACCAAATTCCCACAGGGGATCTCATTAGTGGAGGAGTAAAGCAGGGGACCAACAGTTTCACAACAGTGTCACAACAGTGTCACAACAGTGTCACAATAGTGTTACAACCTTCTTTTGTATGTGATTATCTGACTGTTACATGTTACAGTAGCGAGAGAGAGAGAGAGGGTTCACTTACAATCAGCCGATTACAACACATCTCCCCGCAGGAGACATTTTCAGAAGCAATCGCATAATAAGATATATCTCTGTAGTCTCCACCTTACTACTCCCTCAGAGAGTGGTCGTGTTATATTGTTGGATCGATTAGAAAGCGTTGGCTGTCCAGTGGCCGGGGAGTTGAGTGCATCTTAAAATAGATGATTCTGAGTGCTTCTGAGAGCTTCTGCCTTTTTCTCAAGAAAACATCAGCATCGTGGAGTTGGTAACGGACGGTAGCCGGTAGGCAGTGCACAAAGGATGTTTTTATAACAACATCGCTCAGCACCAGACAATCCACCGATACATATTCTACATTGTATAAATTGTACACTGAGCACAGCAGAGAGAGAGCATGGTAATTGAGAATGTACTAAAATCTCTTAACATATGTCAAGAGACTGCTCTCTAACTCTCTGACATTTTGTCCTCTTTAACAAGGTAACAAGAAAGCGGTTTCCGCAATTATACAAACTCCCTGGATCGCTCTCTTCTAGGGTCGGTTTACAAAGTACATTTTCTTTGATCTCTTTTCCCTCATAGCCAAAGTTTGTGCTCAACAGATGGGTCAATTAATTCACGACAAACTATGATTTGCTAAGTTTATAATTTCCGATTAACACACTTGTTAATCTTTCTCCAGGAAACAGTTGGAGCAAGATAGAGAGTGTGTAATCACCACCACCTTCATAACTAGCTCTGCTGTACACACTACTTATCTCATATACAGACTTATTACAGATACTGTGTAATTTAACTTGCCCAACAAAATCGCTACTCCAGCGGAGAGAGAGAGAGAGAGAGAGAGAGAGAGAGAGAGAGAGAGAGAGAGAGAGAGAGAGAGAGAGAGAGAGAGAGAGAGAGAGAGAGTGTTCTATAAATAGATTTGGTAGAGAAAGGTTCTGTGGTGGTTGTGCCGATCTGTCAGACAAGCTAAACGGAAGGAGTCTGCTCACTTGGAGGGCATTAGGGCTAGAGAGAAACTCCGGTATGGGTACTTCCTACCAATATATAAATAGACGTGGGATGCTAAACATTTCACTACGAAACAGTCATAACGATCAATTTTTTTTACCTTAAAAGGCAGAGAATTTCTTATGATCTACTTGTTAATCTAAGAAAGAAATAATCAGGATCATTATTAAGCTAAGTCGAGTTGGACAGTTCTGTTAATTCCGGAGAAGGGGGAAAACATTGAAACTAAATATGTTTAATCATTTTAAAGTTGTGTGCTTGTGAAGGACATGTCTCATTCAAAATATTTGAATAATACACTGAAAATGTTCAAGAATCTATCACAATGCAATGTATGATTCAAAATGATAATTCGAACTCTGGACAAGTTAAAATCGAAATCATATCTGAAAACACCAGTTTAAGAATCTATCACAATGCAATGTATGATTCAAAATGATAATTCGAACTCTGGACAAGTTAAAATCGAAATCATATCTGAAAAAACACCAGTTTCAGTATTTCCACTTCCCAGTGTTGCACTGACCTGGGGGTAGCTGATCTGGGCTCGTTAACCTCCTTATCCTCTCCGTCTGTATCATGTTCCTCGCTACTAGTTTCATGTCGCTCTTTATTGTCGTTAATAGTGTTGTTCTCGTTTATAGTGGAGAATGGAGGTTTCCGCACTTTGAACAGCGGAGTTCGGGAATCTGGGGATGACAATTATTTCCAGGTCTTGTCCATATTTTACAGAATTTAATTGTTTTTACATCTGAACATTTGGACTTTGGAGGGAAGTGGCGGCTACAAGGAATTTACCAAATGTAGAAAAGTTTTGATATTTCCACGGTAAACTATCAATATGCCAATTGCCACATAGCCAACATAGTATGGGTTTTTTAATATCAGGGCAGTACATATTTGTCTCAAATATAATACGCCAAACAGTTGTATGGAATCTAAGAAGTTTTTAAATATTTCTCATGTTTGAAGCTGCTGCCGAACATTTTGGTATGTTGCAATAGGTTCTGAAGAAAACTGATCGAAATTGCCTGGATTTTATTTGATGTTATACAAAAACGAGTTGCTTTAGTTATCAGCATATTTCCCACATTCCTTAAAACAGCTATAAATTACACTGAACATGTCACGTGGTAGATAAATATCGGTGTTTCCTCGTATCTTGCTCATTTTATGCATTAAGCGCAGGTTGTGCACAGTGTGCAAAAGGTTTGCTGCCCCAAAATAGCCCGAGCACAATTTCTGGGCAACAGATTTGATTAGGCCCGTTTTAAAATAACATAAAGCCATGACGTGAGAAAAAGACACATAAATTGCTAAATTTTACAATGAAATTAGCTGGTAACGGCGTTTGCAAAAGCATTTCTACAAGTTTCGGTGCAAGTGTTTTTGTTCAAGACATAAGCTGCAGACAACGCAGGCCGCAGCAAAGAATGTGTCCAATATTTTAAATTTGAATTGTGCAGACAGCTGCCAGTTTGTGCTTGCAAATAAAAATTGAGGGAAATCGTTTTTGTCTTAAATTTTCTGCTATTGACTTAGCCGACGATGTTAGCTGGTAAGACACAGAATTACAGCTTTTGAATACCAGTACTCGGAGAAATTGTTTCATTTCCTGAATGCAGCAAAAATTATATCATAGAAAGGTATAATATACTGTAGGTACATACAGCTAGAATCACAATTATTATGGGAATATTAGAAACCTGATATTTTATTCAGAGTTAAGACTTAAAACAAAAATATTAAAGTTATATCCGTCTAGTCAAATAGTTTATCGCTGTCTTTAACAATCAGGAATATTCTATAATCGTCATAGTATTCTATAATCGCGGTAAATATTTCGCAGACTCTCTTTCATACTGCAGACAGCAGACACGTATTTATATTTTGGGACGTGGCGAATGGTTGGGAAAATAAGGGAAGATAGTTGAGAGTCTAGACCGATAAGAGAACATCTAAGTTCATACCGCCTCCCCACCCTACATATAAGTTCAATCCCGTCCAATACTCGATTTCGACCAACCGTGAAATTGTTTCATAAAAAGGCCAGGTCCAGGGTAGGGACAAACGATTCAGTTTGATGTTTAGACAGTCAATATGCTACAGTCTAGACCAATCTAACTAATTGATTATATATAATGAAATAATAATTAGAGTATAATTAGATAATCACCTGTTTCTGATTCAGTCCACATGCTCTCCGTCATACCGTTGTGCTCGGACGAGTCCGTCTCACGTTCTGATTCTGATGAACTGGCTGTCTCTTCTGGGAATATGAAAACAATTTAGAAGACGTAAACTTGGTTTTAAGACAGAATGCAAACCATTTTTGCTCTAAAATAATAATAATTGTTTGTCTGAGGAATGGAAGAGAATTTAACATTAATATCGGACATAAACTTTTAGACAACTTAATAAGTTTGGACAAATTAAAGTCTTTTCAACGGACAAAGGTCATAGGCTAGACTAGACTTGAGTAAATCTTTGTTTGTTTGTTTACACCCTGGCTTTTTGGTCAACAGGTCAAACACATACCATCACTTTTTAGTTGTTTTCAAAAGTTTTCAACGAAATAATTTGAAGGAAAGAAAGCAAACTCATGGTTCCTCAGCACAACACGTACTCACAAAACAATCAAACTTAACTAGCGGTAATAATTTAAATTATGAATAAATAATCATCATGTTATTCATTCTATTTACCTGGTCCTTTTCTGGTTCTGTGAACATGATGTTTTCTGTGATCTATCTCTGATTCACTGTCGGAATCTTTCAGTTTCCGTTTTGTTGGGAACGCTGCAAAAAAGTAAAATATAATTAGTTATTTTTATTGCAGGCACGAGGTACGCTAAGTTGCTATTTGGGAAATTCCGCCTAACTGACAACTGTTTTTAAGCATATCACACCGGTAAACATATTATTATTTAAACATGTTAAACATATTAAACACAGCCCAACAATTCCTTGGGTGTACTGCCTAACATTTCATTCTTACATCCACAAGTTTAACCCATACAGGACAATTCTACCTGTTTACTAAATAGGTAAATAACATAAAACATTAAATAGTTAGCAGACAAGCGTCAATACCACGACAGTTTAGGTAAGGTATAATGAGTCAATATAACAAGTACAACATAATAGACCAAATAATTGAGAGGCACATTGCATTATTATTCCATCTAAAACACCGTCATAATATTATTGATGTTAATATTGTGGTTTGGTGTAAGAATCCTGAAGCAGTGATTACTGATGGATTTTATGCATCAATGATCAATATCGACTATAAAAGAGATTTAGTCCTCAGCGGCCAATATCATTGTACACAGTGAAACTAGTTCTCCACACATATCTGTCATGAAATGGTGTAGTACACCCAGTACATCGTGAACACTTCAAAATATACGGTACACAATATAATGGACAGTTAACGTACCGTCTCCATTGGGTCGCGCCTTCTCCGGACTGGTATCACTATCACTAATGTAAACATGAGGTTCAGGTGTGATGAGGTTCATGTTGAGGTTGCCGTGTTCCTGTTCACTGTACTCAGGGAACATGTCGTGGGAGTTTGTGTTGGACGAGGAGGACGTTATTGTGGACGCTGTCGTCTGAAATAGAAATTGTAAAGAGAGGTTATCTGGAACAAGGGATGGGAAACTGACCAAACTGAAAGTTGGGTCAAAAACAGGTCAGAAATAAAGTCGAGTCTTGTATCCGTATGAACTATCAAGTAAACTAACATATCCAGCAAAGAGAGTCCGGACCCCCAGAGTACTCACAGATTTGATGCCGGGTTTATTAGCTTTTAGGTTCTCAGTGTTTCTCAGCACAACTCTCCGCCGTAAACTCGGACAGGGATCCATTTTCTTGTTGAACCCTTTACTGTGACTGTGCTGTTTAGAGAGGTGGGATTTTGTGGTTGGTTTACTGGAGCTGGATGTCGTGACGTTCTTTGTTGTTGATTTTGACTTTTTGATGAGGGTTGAGCTGAGAAAATAGCTGAGTTACAATTGCAAAGGTAGGCATCTAGTATCTACGTGCCATTTCATTTGAAAAATGACTTCAAAATGCGGCAAAATGGACAACTTTCTCAGGGTCTACAAGTTTGATTGTTGTACTTACTTACTTGTACTATACTTGATTATTGGTTTTTAAGAGTTCTGCATTACAACTAAACTTGTCGACTTTTTGAACTACTTAATACTTTTATAATGTCTAATGCATAAATGCATTATCGACATATTATCTTGATGGCGAGTCAGTCATAAGATAATGCATGATAAGGGAGGAGTCTTTAAAAAGCAGAGAGTTTCTGCAGAACTCTTTAAGTTGAATTCTCAGGAAATTCAGGGTAATTGTACTATTTCAGTACTATTTCAGTACCTCATTAAGTACATCGTTAGCAATGGTTTCATGCTTTAGAAGAGGTTAAGTAGTCAGGAAATTGATTATGAGCTTTTAAAATTGCAAGGAAATTATATGGTTAGTCGTAGTTTGCCGAACGAATAAAGTAAGGAAGTATATTAACTTAGGTAATGCGTTTCAAAATACCGAGCTGCCTACCGTACCATGGTCCGTTGCTTATTATAATTATTTGCGGTCAATGCATTTAAATCATAATCTTATAATTTTAGTAATGATATAAGACAACTTGGACACTAATATTCCAGAAATCTGTAGTAATAACGTAATAAACTTATTAATAAATTAATAAAGTTTCTTTGAACTAACATGCCGCTCTTCTGGGCTTTTCTCATGTCTGTAGCAACTGCTTGGCAAAACGTTAAACCGACCACTAGCCACAACTGAAAATAGCATACTTTAGAATACGTGATGTAATAACCTAGTAAAAGTTGAATTCTAAAATTATTCCATGTCAAATTTAGAAGCTTCTAGATTGCTGAGCTGAAAATGTAAGGAGATTTATAAAATAACTCACCACGATGGGTGTTAGAGACTCGCACATGAGAACATCGTCCACCCGGTCAACTTGTAGTACCAGGACAGCCATGGCTATCTGCAGTATCCACAGTATCACAAGTACGCAGTACATTGTACGGGATGTTTTTCCCACCCACCTGAACATGGTTTAAAGTCACAAAACTTTTGTCATTTGAAGCTTGAGATAGTGACATGGATCCATATTGCAAATTTATTTAAGCAAGTTTCTAAGTAGGTAAGCATTAGACAAGTATTAAAGTATGTAGGTATTAAAAGCAAGGGCAATAGATTATGAAATGAAATGAGGTATTTATATCCCGCTCATATGATTAACTAACAACACAAGTACAAGGAAGGTGGTTAACCATGTCAGAGCGGCTGACTGTGAGTGATGTGAGCAAATGTGTAAAAGTGAACAAAGTATAACTCATCATAAGGCGAAGACAAAATTAAAACATCTTTTATTGTAAACCACACTAAACTAAATAGAAGCAGAAACCATACAATACATGTAGGTATAAGGAAGGTTAGTACAGTGACATAATGAACCAAAAAGAGAAACAGATCCTAGAAAGGTAGAGATCTAGACATAAAATGGAGTGCGGTAAGTAATAAAAGCCAAGGTGTCTTGCAAAGTGAAGACAAATGGAAAGAAAAAACATCAAAACTGATTATATAAATGGTTCTTTAACATTCGCTTGAAGCAGTTGGTATCAGTAATACATCTCAACATCAGTGAAAGAGAGTTCCATGCAATCGGTGCATGGCTTGAGAAACGTCTGTCATCAACTTTGGACTTTTTATTCTTTGGTACCTTGAGCATAAGATGGTCACCAGGTCTCTTCGTCCTGGTCATGGTGTTTGAAAGTTCTATATCCACTACATCCACATCCAGTAATGCTTTGAGGTAATCAGGTGCAGCACCGTGAACTGATTTGTGGGTTAATAGACAAACTTTAAAGAAGATTCGTTGGGAGTATGTGGGCCTTCTTATAGAAGGGAACCAAGTCCGTGGTTCTGTCTTTATGATATAGATGAAACGAATTGCCCCATTAAGGGTGAATCTAAGTTTGTTTAATCTGGTCTTTGGAAGATTCATGTACAGAGAATTACAGTAATTTCTAATTTAGATATAACCAGTTGTTTCACCAACATCAATCTAATCCAATAGTTCTTAGGTTCATCATTGTCCAGCTACATTTCCTTTTGACATTATTAATCTGTCTTTCCATATTCAAAGTTTCGTCAAATTTGACACCCAGACTCTTTCAGCTGTCTCCTTTGCACGCATAGGTAGAATTACAGTGCTTGCAAATTGCAGTCTGACACTGAGTTCACACTTTTTTTAGAACATGGCTCTTTCCTAACACCAGTAGTTCTGTCTTTGTTTCTTTCATTTTCACAGCTGTGATTAGGGTAGTATCCAGATGGACATTGAGCTGGTTTAGTACAATTCTCTCTAGGATCTTGGAGATCCTGGATAACGTCAAACATATCTTTTCTGGAAACTGCAGTTAAAAGGTCCGCAAATTGCACTGATTGAATAGTTATCTTTATCTTATTGCTATTATCATCTTTCTTACCTTTAAACGACAATGTATTGCGGTTTATCTTTTCCAATTGTTGCTCCATCTTTTTCAAGTCCGACTCCATCTTTTCCATGTTATAAACCCTGCTAGAAAGATCAAGGACCGAGGGACAAAATGACAAATTGTCAGTTCTTTAAAAAAACTAAACAACTGTTTTGTAATAATTCGATACCTCAAATTATTTATTATATAGTAGTGTTGAAAGTATTGAAATATATATAATATATATATATAAAATAAGTCTTTTGTTTCTTAGTAATAACTAACCATTTGAAATAGAGGGGAAGGAAGATGAGCTTGAAAAGACCATAGAAAGCGATATTGCTCCAGTTATAAGCTGGTTTCGGCTTTTCAAAGTTGGTGCCTGGAAATAAGATGGCTGGTTTAGTATGGCAATAGAAGAGTGTATCTGTTTTGTTGGTTATAGATAACACTGCACGTGTTTAATGTGTGCATGTTGTGACACATCATGTGACACATTGACATTACACGTCAGGTACCATTGTCGAGTGATAACGGTATTAGTCTTTTTTTATTGCCATCAAATCAGATTCAAGCTTAAATCCAATTAAATGATTCTACAAACATTGGGAACATATTTAATTTCAAATCATAAAACTGTTACAGTTGACCATGCCTCCAACCTACCACATTATTAAAAAGGTACAAGCTCTGTGGCCAGAGTTGAGCTGAAAATAGGTTCGTTGGGCAAATCATCTTAACAATAACAAACGTGCAAATAGTTTTCATTAAAAATAGGATCTCTTGAGAAAAATCGTCTAAATTTCACCTCGAATAAGATCCACATCGATAAGTTCTTTTTTAAGTTTGGTTCGCTTGGAGTTCGTATAAGTTTTAGGAAAATCCTGTGATAAGTGTTAGTAGCATGAAGTGTAGACTACTTATAATAAACAAAATCTGCAGACAAGGTATGGCCAATAAAAAGCTTGCTGGAAATGGTGATAGCTGTAATTCTGTAATCGTAATTATGTATTGCTGTAATTCTGCATCAACATTCAACATCACTAAATATCAAATTATGGAATGTTAGTTTAATCTAGATACTACAGTCAAGTCCTTACTTTCAACTTCTTCTCTGCATGTTGCTCCCAAGCAGCTTGGTCATGCTTCTTTATCTGAAATAATCTGACTAAATCATGAGTGATATTATAGGATAATAATTGTTGCCATAAACAAGGAAAGGATATAATCATCATTTTGAGTATTCGTGAAATAACACTGTATGATGAATTTGAAGTGAAGATCAAAATTGAATAATAAACTTATTAGTATAAAGTACCTTAGTCTGAATCCAATCAACAGTATCACTGATCCGTTCTCCAAATGCCATACATTAAAGGTAGTTTTCGTTTTATCCTAGCTCAAAACTGGTTTATGACTGACCAGTATCTTCACTTATGATTTTTTTAGATGTCTTCGATGGATTCTTGTTACTTGAGCTAAAATCTAAACAGAAAATGACAAATTTAGACCCTTTAGAGATCTTGAATTGAAGGTATCACGACTTAAATATAGAGTGCAGTATAGATGTGGATTCTGGTAGAGGTAAATCGAATAATATTATAGATCAAATTAAATAATTATGACACAAACATCTTCACACATCATCATAAATATTTCTACAAAAAGTTATAAATTAAACTAAAATGCTGTGTATAAAGATTAAGGACCCAGTAGAAATGGACCTAAGTATCCTTTCTACTACAATTTAAGTTAATAAAACGTATTTATTAGCAACATGGAGATTGAACTTAACATACATAATATGTTCTAACAGGGTTCGAATCCCAGTGCCACCTAATCAAGAGTAGCTAAGGATCCATTGGATCTATGCGAAATTACACATCTGTGTTGCAAAAGTCGTTCAAACAATAGATATACATTCAATTCAATCAAGTGAACTAGGGTTAAATGAGGAGGGGGCCCGCGAAACGGTTTCGACTACACTTTGAGCGTACTGCAGGATATAATTTCAAGATCTCAGATCTTTTGTTAAATTATTATTATTATTAAATCTAAAATAACTAAAAATTTAACTGATTATTAACAGGCCCCTTTGAGTGGGCAATAACATTCACTTTATAAATTATATACAATAATAATAATTTAAACTTATAGATTATAGTGGCACAACAACTTAAAATGCACAGGTGTGCCACAAAAACAAGTCAGGATACAATAAAACCTGAAGAGCAATCCACATTTGGGTTCCAAACCACAGAAAATTGTAAAGACTTGATACACTAAATTACAAGGTTAAGGGTATGCACTTAACAGTAGAAACATTGAAAAAATAATAAATTAATTAATATCATAAGCACGTTTAAAAAGAAATGTTTTCAGATACACTTTAAAAGATTCCAGTGACAAGGGGTCGTTCACATATTACGTAATCAGCTGAGGGGGGGGGGTTTCCGAATGATTACGCTAGTGTAATTTTGACCCAATAGCTATGTGTAAAACTGATTTCGGAGGGGGGGGGGGTAAAAATGTTCCAAAAAATGATTACGTAATATGTGAACGACCCCCAATAAAAAAAGAAGCCAAGAGCCAAGTCAAAAATCATATCAGAACACGATTTGAGGTCTCCTAGATTTGTTTATGTAAATTTTGATATTTTACTGTACTATTTTAGGTTGTATATAATTTTACGGACGAAATGATCCCAGGGGGGACTCCCAACCCACCGCTTCGGCGGGTAGTTGACGCACCTTTCACAAGCAAGAGCCACTTTGGTCTACTTGCTCAGCTACATGGGTTGGGGGTCCCCCCTTTTTTTTCCAGTGACATGCAATTCTTAATTTCAAGAGGCAGCTCATTCCATAATTAAGGGCCAACTTTCTGAAACGATTTTTCTCCTTACTGTGTATAGACTCAGGTTCAGTCAAATAGATAAGATGATTATAATTGGCATATTTAAACATATTACTTAAATAATCTGGTCTCATACCATTAAGACATTTATAGACAAGAAGCAATAACTTATATCTTGGCTGAAAACTGGCCACGGGCCTAAACATTACATATCAATCAATTACAATTCATTAACATTACCAATATTAAAAACTATCGAAAATATTCAAGAAAGTATTCTCTAGCCAAAGAGCTCAATATTTAAATCTAAATCTTCAATATTGTCTGGTTTATATCGCAACATGGGCCCTCTGTCCCCCCTTATCGAAATAACCTCAAAGCACAAGCGCTTTCTAAGATATATAACTGAGTCTGAATAACGCTGACCCGTTAACTTATATTGAATTCTTTAACTAATACATAATCACCCTACGCGCGTGGGGTGGACTCCTGGGGTGGACTTTTATTCAGCGCGTATTTTGTAGCCTGTTCAACTTGACGTTTTGAATCGTTACTATCTCAATGTCACAGATACACAGAATGTGAGGTGATCATCTTAAAGAGAAACGTCTCAGCTTTCACCTGGTGTAAAGTTTATCTTTGTTCTCAAAATATAGCTCGCTCAGTGTGCAACAGAAGTTGACATTACAATAACCACGTCTGCGACCGGTCGTCAGATACCGGAGTGTTGCACAAAATTGGGTCCCTAAATTAAAATTCTATGACACAGTTACCATGCAGAAATGTCTGGAGTAACATTTGGTGAAAATTTGAAGGGTCTACTGATAATATTGCAAAAGTTATTGAAAACAAACTAGCTTAATCAGAAGTTTTTGGGAAAATTTCAAATTTTGTACGTAGTGGGGTCTACTGGGGTGGACTCTCGTGACGCGCATCTGATGGCGTGGCTTTTTCAACAGCAGTCAGTACGGCCAATATCAGAGCACAAATTATTGTGAGTAAGACCTTAATGGTCAGCTATGAACCCCTCACTAGAATAGTAACCGTATCTAAAAACAAGGAAATGTTATTCCGTCAAAGCTCAAATTTTTTACTCTTCTCAGTGCAGTTACTATGAATGTACTAGCTAAGTATCGTTGATCGTAGCTGCATTACACAGTAGAAGGTAACCAAGGAAGACTGCTGATTAACGAAGCAATTTCAACGTGAACAGTTCCAAAATACATAATCATGGCGACGATAGTTCAACTTGAACCTTTATAGTTTTTACAGTCTAAGATCACAATAAAATCACGTGAACTGCGAATCACAAAATCAAATCACTCAAATCTGATACAGTCCCGTTACAGTACGCTTTCGTGACAACCTCAACGCTTAAAAAAATAAATATTCTGCAGTCTTGTGACCACCGATGGCCCTAACTCTCCCTTGTCCGCGAGGAGCATCGTTGCGACCATGGGTTTCAGTTCTTTGTTCTTCCCACTCGGCTTCGATAGATCGAATTGGCTGGAAGTCAATCTATCAGAAAGACCTTTGTCGATCTCAGGGGCGTGGTAAATTGTGGATGTCGGAGTATAAAGCTTCCTGAAAAGATTGAGACATTCACTCGGTCTGTTGTAAATATCGAATATTCCTTGTAGGCCGAGATTTAATTTATGTTGGGTTTGATAACTAGAGAAGGCGATTTGATATTCATTGATAGTATAAGAGTATAAGCATATAAGCATAAGTGATAAGTTTATAAACCCCCTTTATGGTACCTCGATATCAGTATTGAGTAATCATCACTCAAAATCTACTTATTAAATTTATTAACTAAACAAGTTAATGTATTACCGTCCTAGAGAGGTTTTCCTGAGAATTTGAAGTCTCTGTAGGTTGCTGACATGTCTACTAAGCTCTTCGATTGAGGAGTTTTGGACCCCTCGGCGGTCCAAATGATTTATAATGCTGTGGGCATTTTCAACATCTATCGAGCTAAACGCCCTCGCAGCATAACCTGTAGAGAATGAACATGTCATCAATGCAAAGTTCAATGATAAAAATCAGAGTGGCCGATTTCAACGGGCAGAATTCGAATATCATGGCCTTGGGGAATGGACTATTTTTTGTCGATTTTACTAACCAAACTGGCAAACGATTGTTGATTTTCGTCACTAGTCTAAAATGAAAGCAAACGTTCGGCCGAACATTTACATGATTAAAAACTTACCGGTTTCTTTCGTTATTATGTACAGACATAGCCGGGCTTGGGTTCCGCATACGATATCTTCTATCAGATTAAAGTTGAACCCACACTTTGTACTGCTCGTGGGAGGAGAAAAGCAAACTGATACCTTTTCCATGAGCATCTCGTGTAGTACCATCATCATTTCGATTCTGATATCAGCTGCAAAATTCGTCTATTACTAAATGCTAGCTTTTCGAACTTCGTATCTTGGAAATAACAACTTCTATGAAAGAACACACACACACACACACACACACACACACAGACGCACAGAGACACACTCACACACACACACAGACGCACAGAGACACACACTCACTCACACACACAGACAGACAGACAGACACACAGACAGACAGACAGACAGACAGACAGACAGACAGATACACACACCCACAAACACATACAGACATAGACACACAGACACAGCATAAACACAGACACACACAGACACAGACGGACACACAGACAGACACAGATACACACAGACATACACACACACCCACAAACACACCCACAAACACAAACAGACACATACACACACAGACACATACACACACAGACACATACACACACAGACACACACACAGACACACACACATAAACACACATAGTTCACTTCAGTACACTACATTACAATTACAGACACACGCAGTACAATCAGAGACACACACTCGATACAAAGACAGACACAGGCACAAACACACAGAGTACACTTCAGTACAATCACAGACGCAGGCACAAAGACATATACAAGAAGAGCAGATTGAAGTACCTTCATTTGCAGATGTTGACGCATTGATCTGTGGGATATGTTCTTCAGTCTGTAACTGATCATCTGCTAGAACTGTCTCATCTGGATCAACCGGAGGAGTATCTTCCGGCAGGAGTCTGAGTGGGTCTATCGGGACAGCCATGGATCGCTCTCCGTACCTTGCTGAAATAAAGACAAAGGTCAACGACGGATGTCGCATGTCAGTCCTGTAACTAAATGTAATGCAAAATAGTGAATAAATAATTTTTACATCTGAACGATTGTTCATTGATTCTTTGAATCTGTTCATTGATTCATATATATATATATAACTCTAAAACTCTGGTCACAAGAGCAACTGCCTAAACGTGCAGAAGTGAAAACAAATAAATAAAATATACTAGCAGTCCTTAATACTCGTAATAAATAGATTCATTCAATGTCATAAAACTCATAACCATACACGTGACCAGTAAAATAATTTAATTGGTCTATAGACTACTGTATAAAATTCTCAATATATAAACTTTATTAACAATAATAAATTAGTTAAAATAACACCAACCTTTGGTGTATAAATGAGTAAACAACCTCTATTTGTCGTAAAATATCTTTCATAATATTATAGTATATGCTATAATATCAAAACTGTTTATTAGAGTTCAGGTAACAGAATTTAACTGTAATGGCACCTCTGTAGTATTATCCGTTGTTGAGATGTAACCATTTTTTCGTCCGGTCTTGATTAACCCGGCTCACGATACATATGCTTCGTCCGGTCTAACATTGAATCCGGCTCACTAATCATAGGGATGGTGTAGTAGTTGGAATATAACACACTGTTTACAGTTTTATCTCTGTTCGAAGGAATTCTTCTGCATCCCTTGTTATTTCAACCGCTAAATCAAAGAACTCGCGAAGTCTGCTCCATGATATTAACATTGAATTTCCACCATAGCCCTGGTTAAAGATGTTGTGGAATGGGTGTCTTTTGAGAAGCTCACTCATGCTGTTCCTTTTATTTAGTTTTATATCATGACAGAAGATAAGCAGGTGAAGTGAGTTTTGCTCCCCTCGTCCACATTCACACAGTGGAGAATCAAATTTGCTGCTGTTGAACCGGTGAAGAAATTCATTCATGATGTTGTTGGGGTAGAACAGACTTAGGAATAGGGTTTCAAGTTGCCTTGTTGTTTTGGGCGGAAACTTAAGCTTTGTGGTGCTCACTGTAGGTGCCTCTGTATAACCTTCCAACTGATACTGGCTGTTTATGGAAGATTGCCAAAGCTGTTCACTGTAATGTTTCATAACCAATTTACTGTAGCTGCATCCTTTTGTTGATAAACTGGAGAATTTCTCAAGGTCATGGTTGTTTATGATGTTTTGATCCTCCCTGGTGAAGTGTTCAGGGTGTATCGAAGAATCAATGAACAAAAGTTCAGGATTTTACCTTCTGTTAAGCTGTTAGCACTGACTCTAGCCCCCTCTCCCTACAAAACGACCATATCTCGGGCTGAAGCTTTCAACCGTCTTGCCTCAGCAGCCATCTAGCACAGTCGACCTGTCCTGTTAATTATGTGATCATCAAGTTACCAAATTTAATCCTTCAATATTCAAATAATTGATTATCAGACAAAACAGAGTTTAGAGCTCGACGTATGCTTCAGGGTTTCACACTGTGCTGTAATCAAACGCATGACTAAAACCTCTTGCTACTATTACCAATGTTAGATAAACCCATATTGTTAAGGCGGTCAAATGATTTACCTGAGTTGATCGCGTCCATGAAAGGGTTCAACTGCGCTCTGTCCAGCTTGTTAATGTCCGCTCCAGCAGCCAGCAGTGCCTCCGCCTCCGTCACTCTCCCTGCTTTGCATGGCCAGTGAAGCGTAGAGCTCCCCTCTAAGCTCTGTGACGATCCGACGAAGGATCCAGATTCCCTTCTTTTCTCTTGAGATTGCTTCAATTCTTCCTGGAGTATGCGGATTACCATTTTTATACTTCCATACAGGGCGCGTGAACAATCAGCAATGAATTATCAATTAATCAATCTAGTTTTTGAGTAAAAAGTCCACAGATTGTGATACATTGGATTTGATATTGGAAAAGACATGGCTTACCAAGTACCTTTTCATGTGCTTTTTGGAGGACAGGGATGACTTATTCCTGCGTGCCATTTCACCATAACTATCTGCTGTAACAGCAAAAATTAGAATTATGTCGGACATAATTCTAAAAAATTGGAACATTGTAGTTAATCAGTGTGGTGCTAACAACAGAGAGCGATTTGAACGGTAGGCAATTTCATAAATTTCATTAACTCGATATAAGGATGATTGGAACAGGCTAAAATCTACAATGTGGCATTAATAACTGGCTATATCGCTGCATTAAACGATTAAAGTATTGCTAACTATGGATATTCTAAGTGATCTAGGCAGAGGGGAACCGGCACAGCCAGATTGCGTTGTCTTCACTTTCAGTGACTAAGTTTCACGATAGAAAGGGGAGTAGGGGATTATGACGGAGTGAAATTTATTTAGCAGGGCAAACAAAAAACAACTGACAGCACTGAGCAAGTGAACTGGAAAATTGAGGAACGAAAATAACAGTGGTTGTCAGCCCTTTCCGTAGCAATCAGGATTTCCCAGGAGATTGATCAGGCAATCAGGATTTCCCACGAGAATGCTCGAGTCAACGCGCGCACTTGTGTCACGTGACGGCCACGTGACGCTCTAATCGTTGTCACGTGGTACAGAAGGGAGGTTCCTAGAGCGTTGATCTCGACAAGAGGGATGTTCTCACGGTTTATCTTCAATAACTATCGCTATTTTTATAGTAGAGAGTTGAAACTTTCACCAAATGTTTCCCTAGACATTTCTGCATGGTAACTGTGTCATAGAATTTTAATTTGGGGACCCAATTTTGTGCAACACTCCGGTATCTGACGACCGGTCGCGGACTTGGTTATTGTATTGTCAACTTCTATTGCACACTGAGCGAGCTATATTTTGAGTACAAAGATAAACTTTACACCAGGTGAAAGCTGAGACGTTTCTCTTTAAGATGATCACCTCACATTCTGTGTATCTGTGACATTGAGATAGTAACGATTCAAAACGTCAAGTTGAACAGGCTACAAAATACGCGCTGAATAAAAGTCCACCCCAGGAGTCCACCCCACGCGCGTAGGGTGATAATAGGCAGCCAATGAAGGTCTCTATAAACAAAGTCAAGTCTATGTTTCCGATTCTGCTAATTGTCGGGAAAAGTAATATTATGTTTTGTGCTAATGTTCGGTTTTTAGAATTATTCAAAGCGGAGATCAACACGAAAGTGGAACTCAACATGTAAAAAGTCAGTAAAAATGAATTTATCCCGGGTGAGATGTGTTAAAGTCCCTCCTCAATAACGGAGTTGCAAAAGGCTAGGAGATTGCACAGGATTCTTTAGTGTACCCTACGTGATTGATGACACAAGCGGTTGATAAGTAAGTAAGTAAGTAAAGATTATGACATAACATCATCACAAGTGTCTACAAAATATCATTGCACTAAATAGAAAAATAATTTAAATAAATATATTTTTCCATCAACATTAATAATTTATTAAATTCAATTTTATTAATTAATAAAATCTAATGCATTATCTATAAATAATAAACTCCACAATAGCGTGAGTGGCTTTAGAACTTGTTATTCCATATTCTCTTTTAAAGTATTCCAATTAATTTATAAAGGTGCATATATTGATTTTAAATACAAAACAAAAGGTTTGATCTCGATTTATTAAGTTTGAAAGAAGTTACTCATGGGCCGCGTTCAGTTTGTCATTCCGCCGAATCTTAATGTTTATGAACATGATAGCCTACGGTCCCCAGGTAAAAAGAAGTTACTGGAATGCGCGCAATTTTGAATTTGAGGAATGTGCTTTCGGTAGAGGTACAAATGACAAAATATAAACTTGATATACTACGCCGAGCCATAATGAATAATTACAAAACGCAGCTCCGCGGCGCGCGTCAGTTGGTCATGGTCTACAGTCTAGGTTATTATGTGTTATGTATTAATTTTATATCACGTCGCGATCCTCATTTCAAGAAACGAAAGCCACGATATGGTTACACACCTGTGTGCGGTAGGGACCACAGCGTGGGGCAAATTAATACATACATGAATTAACATACAGTACTCAATACCTGGTACCGAAAATTGATGGATGATACTCGAATAAATTTTTCGAAGTAGTGCGAGCATTGTCATACGTCGTTTGACCGGCCGCGCACGAGTGCGCGGCTCCCCCTATATCGTAGAAACTCTACAGGGGTTCTGGGGTTATATATATAGTAAAACAACGATGGGGGTCACGACGTGATACAAGTGCGAGCAGCGAGGGTGCGCTGTTTAAAAAAATAGTTGTGCAACGAATTGGCGCGCGCCGGGTCAGTCCATAAACAATTATATTTATACCGAAACTAAACATTAGTCAACATACAGTGAGCTTGTTTTATTTAGGGCACATATCTTCACCGAAAGCACACCCCCAAATTGTGCGCATTGCTGTAACTTCTTTCAAACTTCTTGATTCAGAATTAATATGTCAATATGCATTTATACAAATTACTTGGAATACTGTTGAAAGAGATTAACAAGCTCAAAAACGTTGGCGGATGTTACTCGTCTAAATTTCTTCGAAGTAGCGCGCGCCGCTTTCTTCTCGAAACGGCTTGTAGCGCGATGCACTACTGGGTCGCGCGCGCGCATCCAATAATGCTTCTCGCAACCACTTCTTCGGTAGATCCAAGATCGGCGAGATGCACCACTGTGCCTCACCGAGCTGCGAAGGATTGACATCGTGAATCAATAAACGGCAAGTGCTACGAAGTAGCGCGCGCCGGGCCAGATCATTAACAATGGTCAATCAAAAACGCTACTGACGTATTTATCGGTGAAAAGCACAATAGCGTGAATATCTTTTGTCGAGGTGCCTCGAAAGTGATTTTAAACAATTTAAGTCGTTTATTACTGGGCCTTACCTGGGGACCTCAGGCTATTATGTTCACCTTCACATAGCCATGTGTCTACGCGTACTGCGTGACGCGCTTGTTTCACGCGCTATACTGCGAGCGAGAGGGCTCTGGTTAGAGCAAATGTTCATAAACATAGAGATTCGGCGGAATGACAGGCTGAGCGCGGCCCAGTAAACTGGGCCGCGCTCCGCTGAATCTCTATGAACATGATAGCCTGAGGTCCCCAGGTAAGGTCGTTTAACGCCAACTTAGTGCAGGATCAAGCAAGTTATAGATATATTTCATACGTATCAAATCAGGTGTGCTTTCGGTGGAGATATAACCTGTGCCTTCATATTTAATCTTTTAATATAATTTGCATAGCAAACAATATTTACTGGTCGAGTGTCATTCATAAATAATTCAGTTATGAGTCATACCTGCACTATTTACACAGGATGTATAATTTCTCAGGATTTTAGCTTTAACGAAAATTAGCTTAATGTTGCCCGTATAGTCCTACCGCTATATAGTATAGCTTTATAACATGCTCGATTTTCCAGCTTAAAATTGTAACCTTTTGCTTAACAAGAGGGAATTTAAGTCTTAGCTGAACAAAGAAAACGAATGGTTAACCAAACGGAGGAATGAAAATATTTGTATAACACTAGTGACAGCAATTTCTCCTAAATTTCCAATTTTAACAAAAACGATTATCCGGTAAAGTATTTCCACTTAAAACCATGTGCAATCGCCTTTCATTGAATTTACATAATAATGTTCGGTTCAAATTAAATGGAAAATAAGTTGAGACCATCTGTTTGTCATAAAATTCAATTTGATAATGGGAAAAGCAGCATGGTTTGGATAACAAGATTTCTTTCCAAGAGTAATAGATGAAAAATCAAGATAAAATATTTCAAGTTATTACACATTTTACAACCTCTATCGATCTATCCTATATTATGCAGTAGTCCAACAAAATTTCCGTAATACATAAAACTTAAATTAAAAATCCAGCGCAAGATTTAAGCGATTTAAAATAAGCAAACAAAACACTTGATACCATTGTCAAATTTGGGTTTCTACTCCTACTAACAGTGCGGGGCTAGTTGGACACGCAAAACGGAAACAGGTTGCATCAAGTGACATTACATCACATCATGTGGCGTCACTTCACATGTCGTGACGTCACATCACGTGCTGTGGCGCGTCACATCGAGCTGGCCACATATGTACAGCGTATTTCCGTTTCTTCTCATGTTTTTGCTGATTGACGGTCAAGCATTCCAGAACCAATATTATCTTCAATGTAAATCAACATCATACAAAACTGCTATGTGATACCTAAATATCCTAAAAACTATCTAAATTTAGGCTTTACACGGAACCTTGACCACCAATACACTGCTCACTGGCAACTAATTTTCAAATCCGGTGAACGGAAATAAATACAACATACTGAAACAAATAAATGCGGCCATGCCCCATAACGGCCATCCCTATCATATTATACACTTTCTCCTCCTTAAAAACTAATTCAAGGTTACCACTAATCATCATCTTGCGAATTTCCCGTTTATTGCGATCCAACTGCCAAATTCTGATTTAAATTGAAACATATTATACTTAAATAATATTACCAATGCAATATGTCCATCGCCTTTCGTCAAAATTATAATATTATTACAACAACAACAACAACCGTTCTCAGAATTTTTTTCAATTTTTGTAGCACCGCAATCCCACGCCACTGGCCCTTAAATGAGAAGTGAACAAAATTTACTATTCTGTACAAAAAAACGAACCCTAAAACATTTTATTGGGCACATTGGGCGAGAAACGGCGGTGCAATTTTATTTAACTCCGGCATTTAAATTCCACGGCAACCGCCTGGATTATGATTTTACAACACAATTCAGAAAGTTAAATCCTATGAAAAGTCTGGAGCGTTGATAAAGAGAACATAGATTTCAAAGTTTTTGCCGACGAAATGTGCATAAAACTGCACACGCAGTCGGCTAGAAGAATTATCGATACCGAATTTTCCTAAGATCTATCACGAACAATCTCTCTCTCTCCGAAAAAAAAACGTAATATGCACAAAAAACTTAAGAAATTAAATCCTAGTCAATTTAACAATTACAGAACAAAAATCAAAAGCTCAGCGATTTATAAGACTCTTCTACACAGAAAAATTTAGTCGTTGTTTATATTATTATTTGGGATTTTAGCAGCGGTAGCGCACATATATATTACTCATAATAAATCTACCCTTAATATATATAGTCCACACAGTGTCACGTCATGAGTCCAGCTGAAAAATGGACAGTTTAAAAACTTTTCTGCCATCTTTATTACTTTCCTAAACATGATGTTAAAATACACACTAAGAACAGGCTAAATATCACCTAAATAACATGTTAAAACTACTAAGTCATAATTTGTAAAGCAGGAACCATCATGAAATGTGGCGAGAGTGGCACAACACTACGCTACTACGCTGGAAATTTGCCAGCACAACAAAATCCTAGTAAATTTAAACTAAATATTCTCGCCCGGAGGAACAAATACATCCGGGTTTGCACCAGAAGTTCAAATTCGTCACATTGCTCTGAGGGAGAGCAGAGTTGGGAGGACAGGAGACCGAGTTCGACCCTCGTGTTGATCACGTGATAGGTTCCTACTAGTATAGGAACCAGTAACTCGGTACCCAGTTTATATCCCGTCCTACACGTCCCAGAGCAGGGACTTTTTCTTAAGAAATAGAGAGATGGAGGAGGGAGAGAGAGATGAAGGGAGCACAGTGATTATCATTAGTCCCTTTCAATCGAATCTGTGGAGGGAAAATATAGTTAGAATATCTCAAAACTATGCTGAGCGCAACCCTCATCTAAAAATAAATACCGTCCGAAATCGACAGTATAAATATTCGAGCAGTATCAGGTTACACGGATACACGCTTCTTACAGGAGAAAAATTAATCAGCGGGTGTCTGGCCCAGGGCCAAACCGCAACTTGAGATTTTGTGCATCATTACAGTAACAGGTAATACGATCATAGCTCTCGTCCGTTGTTATTCACAAAAACAACTAATGATCGGAAATATTTTACTATTTCTCAGTAGGGGAATAAAGTTCCGTAATAAGTATTTCGAATTATTTAAAATATTTAAATAAAATAACTTACCTAAGTCAATATTGACAGTAGACAGGGGTGTTTTATTAACAATACACAGAGTATCGCGATGTATTGGTCGAATGCTAAACATCTCTGGTTCCTCACACAAGGATACAATGTCCAGCCCAATTCCCTGTAAAACATTTCCTTGTGTTTATCTTGATAAGATTGAGATAAATATCAGATTACAAAAGTAAAATAGTGAATGAGTCAGAAAATGTGAGGATGACTTTAGAGCTTTTCTCAGAATACAGGGGCGTGTAAGAGTATATTATATATTATCTGAATTTTTAATCTGTTATCTGACAAGCTAAAGATTAGATCACTGCCCTGTGCAACCGAAATACAATTTCCTCCGGCCGGCGTGAAACTGGAACAGCTTATATTACTGTCCGACAAATCACAGAATTTGATTAGATTCTAGTCCTAGGAGGTGCTTACATACACCGAATCTGACAACTTTTCATTGGAGCTGTCGTAAATTTATAATGGCCTGGGGGGAGCCGAGTAGAGAGAAACGCTGTGACCTTGTGGGATTCGCTTAAGCGAACTGTCAAGAAATAAAATAGCTGAGCGTAAAAGTATCGTAATAATAATAATATAACATGAATGATGAAACCTATTTCATGGAATAATGTGGACACCAGCACGTGGCTCTTACCTTAGGAATTATTATGGAGTCTCTTTTATCGTTCAACTTAACGTAGGACGTCTGAAATGTAACAGTTAATACCACGTACATATGTAGCTGAGTAACAGTAACAGCTGAGTAACAGTTAGTAATATCGCGTACATAATTAGTTGTGGGCAGTGAAAATATTCCATGTGTCTCTAGACTTTAAAGAGCTTGAGCCAGACAAACAGCTTGAGTGTAAGTGTAAATTCCCTCATGGGACATAAAATATCAATCTTGATCAATTTACCATTCAGGACACCATCTTCATTAATATCACTCATTACAAAGATTGAGTAAACTAAAATGAATAAGTATCTGTTGTCGGCTTACCTCGCACATTTTACTAAAGTCTAAAATAGGTCTTTTACAAGGGCAGGTTCTATGTTCTGGATGCCGCCTCTTGGATCCTATTCTATACTGCGTTGGTGAGCTCGGACACTCGCTTCTCGTACTGTAGTCCTGTACAAACATGCAGTCGTTACAAAACTTGGGGAGTTTTAGAAAGAGGGGGGCGTCAAGGGGGTGATATTGGTCATTTCTTGAAACACATTTCTCGGGATAATGACAAATATCCCCCCCTTTTATTCGCCAGTCTAGACCGATGTCCAGCGGACAAAATGAACGATTATCAAATCATGAACCGTGGTCGGATGGAAGCAAAGTCTGCTAAATTTCACTTCAGATTACATGTTTTAACGTGCAGACTGCATAACGGTAAAATTATCGGCGGAATTCAGTGAAACATAACCATGCAATCTTGTAATGGGGTAATTGGATGGTAGTTGGTTGGAACTGTACTTACTTTACTGACTTTAGTGACTTTGGTCCAGATGTTAGATGGCTCAGGTCGCCAAACTGGGATAGCTGATAAAGGTACGCTGCTCACGCGACACCTAAGGGAATTTTACTTTAGAATTATAAATATATAACACAATTTATAACACAATTATAAGTTTATTAAATACCTATGTAAATAACAAATTGATTAAAGGTAGATTATAAAATATTAATTAACTAAACGCCAATATAATAATTATTTACCGACATCAAATCGATTGAATATCGATTATAAATCAATGTTGACATTGGTTATCGGTTATTGGTTAAGTCAATCATAATAAACCACTTAAAAGAACGCTAATGATAGACTTAACAATTATAAAATAGTAGATTATTGGGGACAAAATGAGAATCTCATTTCGTCCCCAATAATCAACCCACTCAAGAGAGCGAAAAATGATTCTTAATTATAAAATAGATAAATTATAAGATCCATTAAACAAAATTCACTTAAACAAGGCCAATTTCCACTTAAAATTTAAATGAAAGATATAATTGTGATAATTTTCTCACCTCTTCTTAGCGGGGGTAGCGATAACGGAGTTCTCACAGGGTCGTCCGATAAGTTTCTCGGGAGTAGACATGCCGCTAACCACTTCGGCTCTGGTCACGTGCCCAGCGGGGTGATTTTCTTTGGTCTCGTTAAACACTGTTGTCATGGTGGCTGAAAAGGGAGGTGTTAGAACGGGTGGTTTAAAAGAATTGAGACGAACGAATTAATTCTTATTTTACAGTCTATGTCTCATGAAAATATGTAGAGGTGTATACTTTATTTGGGATTAATCTTAAATCTGGGTTATTCTAAAAAACGGACGTACATAACACAGCTAACAACATGGACAGTCCAAGCGTAACATACCGAATTAACACACAATAAAAGTAAGTTAATAAGTTAAAACCCACCTTCAAACATAGTGACAAGGTTACACTTCATTAAATATATCGGGCTACAAGCCACAGTTATATGACATAATCTTGAGATAGAATATCTGGTTAGAATATCATAATTAAACTACTTTTCATTTACTCATGTAGAGTATTAAACAGTATAATTGTTATAAAGCAATAAAGTAAGCTTAAAATAAAACATTATGCTATGATGTTGAACATTTTTCTCGACCACATAGGATTAAACTAGGCGCCAAGTTTAACAAAACACTTGTGTGAGGAATTGACACTGAACGACGTTTAGACAACAGTTCCAAACACTGTCACTCTATAAAGATTCAAACTCACAAAACTAGCGTCCCTCGGGAAAACATAAACCAATAAAGAGCACAATATTCTGAGAGAGCAATTACTGAAAAGCTAGATTGCCGCGTTGTAAGAGCACGTACTGTAGACGTGTAAACCGTGTGATAAACCACTAGTTAGACCGAGAGAATATATAATATTACTGACGAAACGTTCCATGAAATATATCTCCACGGTGATATTATGTGGACGCGACAACTACATGAGAGCTAATGACAACTTGTGTTGGCGGTATAAACTATAAACTTCAAACTATAAACTATTATAAACTATAAACTTCAAACTATAAACTATAAAGTTGTGTAGCGTTGTCCGCTCCGTCAAAACGCTTTTTATATTTCACCGAAACCGAGTTTTGGGGCGGTAAAAATAACGTAGAACACCAAAAATGAACCACCACCGCCGACAGAAAATCCATGAGATGGAGAACACACAAAGGATAGTGACTAGCGGGATGGTGAGGTACTATGACGGGGGAGGCGGTTTATGGTGGACCACGCACTACAGATTAATGAACACTCACTAGCCGGTCACTACTCTACCAATATCCTGATTATAACGCTCAGTTGGTCAGCTCTAGTGGTGTATGAGGACTAAAAATATATTTCTTTGTGTGAGTCAAACGAAAATGCAGGTCCCGGAGTAAGTAATATGTCTTGTGCTAATGTTCGGTTTTTAGAAAATTATTCAAAGCGGAGATCAGCACGAAAGTGGAGCTCAACATGTAAAAAGTCAGTGAAAAATGAAAATCCCGGATGAGATGTGATAAGGGGAGACGAAATAAAGAAAAAAGGCCCGGGTGATGATTGAGTTAAAGGAGTATTGTTGGAGGAGCAGACGAGGTCGAACGACCCTGGGGGCTACATGCAGACCTACCCCGGACTAACAACCCCCTACAAACTAATAGCCTATAATGGCATCCGCAATATTTCTACATAAACGTGACAATTGATGCAATGTGTACATTTTCAAGTTATAAAGGCTAGCGGGTATTGTGAATATTTTCATATTATTCAGAATGTAAGACCTTGAGTGTGTACCGGTAGAATCTTTTCGCCCGTCTCGAATGATCTTCACCGTGCGCTTATATTTTACACTCACAAAAAACGGTGAAATTTAAATTGAAATTCTACACTGTGGGTAGGCAATGATCGTAATGTAAAAAAGCGGAGCGTGTAAAAGTTAGAAGAATTCCATAATGATGATGAAGAATGCCAATGAGTCAATCACAGAATATATAAAATACACGGAGAGGTCATACAAATATGACTGCCGCCCGCTACATCGGACTCATACTGGTCAGAGCTAATGCTTCCCTAATGAACTAATGTCCATAACTTTAACTACTGTAAAGAGTTTAAGTTCGACCGACCAATAGTTAAGTCTGGGACGTAGATTTTTAACGGTTTGGAGTTGGTGAACGGAGACATTTCTGTTTGTGCGAGCAAACCGTCGACAATTTTTAAAGATCGGAAATTTTCTTAAACTGAGTATTATAATGATGCTCATTTGAATAAACATGTTTATTGTTATATAGTTACGGACTATCAGACAGGTTATCAAGGTGTGTTTCTACTGCAATTAAACTAGGTTTTCCCCCAGAATATTACCAACTATGAACAAAAAAGAAACCAACTAAGAATTTGTTATCAGGGTAAAGCGGGTCACCAAATTAACGGTCAACCAACAAAGCAAGGAGGAAATAGGAGAGGCAAGTTCACGGTATCTTACAGCCAAGATATTTGCACCTTCACAGAGACTTTTAGTGTCAACAAATTTCGCAGCAATGGTACCACGATGTGTGGAAGACCCACACGACAGGGGATATTAGAGTGCTGACATTTTCTGTACATTAACAAACAGTTAAAATGCAGATTTAAGGGCAGATAAATATATTAAAAATATTAAAATGCAGATAACATTAGGTTCAAATTAACACTGTTCCCATGAGTAGACAATGAGGCTAGACAATGAAAGTTTTGTCTAGACACAATCATCTGGAAGTGGGGTTATAATTGTCATAGTAACGCGTTAACTACAGCAACGCTTGGAAGTGCAAGTGGGGTTACAGTTGTTACGGTAACGCGTTAAATTACAGTTGCTGCAGTAACGCCTGGTAGGAAAGTTACAGTAACGACATGGACTACTGCAGCTCACTGCTCAGTAATGAACGCTCCGGCAACGGAACTGACACTTCAATTTCAGTACCCGCCTCATTTCTAGAAAGATCTCAAAAGCTGTGCAACGTCAGCAAGTAATGCAGTTCTGATGAAACATATCGATAAGAATGATGAAAAATATAGATAAGAATGATAGAAACTCAAAAGCTGAGTACGGCAGACAGCAATAAAAACGCGTCTAAAAAATTACAGTACGTAATAGGTAGAAGTATTAGAAGCAGCAAGGGCCAATAAGAACGAGGAAGGAATGGTCGTGACAGTACAGTGGAACTAGGTATGGCCTATATTTACTGGAATGAGCAGACAGCACTCATATTAATAGCACCTGCCAACTGCAACACTGCCAGGTAAACAGCCAATCAGGACACAGTATCCAGCCCACGTGTCACAATCCAACCAATCAGAGCAGCACAATTCCTTGTTTCCTGGAAACAACCCCGCGGCAGCTTGTTAAAGTTTATATTGCTCTGTGCCCGGCCAAGATAGCAACATAGTCGGGCACGAGTACCACGTGACTTGTGTGGTGGTGGTGTTGCAGCGAGCTGTGCACTTGCTGCTGAGCTGCAGCTTTGCAGTGTAATTACTGCTCTGGCACAGTTAGTGAGACTAAATCTGGCAGCTTGTTACGATGTCAACTATTTCACCCTGTGGGAGAATGTCAGATATTTCACCTTGTGGTGGGAAGAATAAAACAGCAGCCGCAAAAAGGAGTCATCAATCTTGTGGACGGCAGATCAACAAGGAGCAGGGGTGTGGTGGTGGCGACACACCACGACGGAGCGAACAAAGGGTGGAGCAAACAAAACGAAATATGTACTTCAGTACTACATGATCTCAGCACAGCGAACAATCTAGATCGTTTTACACACTGCGACACAGCACAGTGCGACAGAACAGGGCACATTGTACTGTTGGCAGTCTCCCACAACTAGCTAATAGGTTAATAGCTGAGCTGCTCTCAGAGCTTCAGAGAGCGCTTACTTTCTCTGAAACACGGAGAGTGAGGGAGAGAAGCCCGAGAAGTGGGAACGTTGTAATTTTATTCAAATACTTCCCGGCATCGCGAGCTAGATTCGGCACATTAATGGCTACCTGCCATACCGTGAGCCATATGTTTACCGCATGTAAAACTATGTCAGCAATGGAATCCACATTAAATTTCTACAATATATGCGAGGAATAGCCGGACAAATTACGGCAAATAATCGGTATTTGGCACGGATAGCTTAAAAGTGAGTGAGTGAGAGGAAGAGTACTGAGTACTATAAGATTTATGACAACTAACAATGGCACACATGTGACACCTGACAGCTGAGTAAGTATTAATTACACGGTGCAGATAGAGGACACTGAGAAGAGGACAAAAGGAGAGTAAGTGTAACAGTGCCAGCCAGCAGCCATCATGGTGATATAAGACGCAAACGAATAAATAGAAAATAAACAACACCAGTAGCGATAATACCAGATAAAAAGTACATAATATGACGGAATATTAGATACAGTATTAATATACTGTTAGAGACAGTAGAGAAGAGATAGTGCAGCAGAGAGAATGTAATAACAGATGGGTAACAGCTGCTTCCTACAAAATGGGAAATATGCCAATAACGCAAACCTCGTGAGCTCCAAATCCTGAATATTCAACTGTGACTTGTACAAGAGCCAAGTTAAAGCGGTACTAAGAGCAGATTACTGTACATCTGAATAAACCAATCATAGGTCGACTATTAGTCACGGTAGTTGCCTGACTCCAAATATTTAACATCCGTACTCCGCGTTATTTGAGAACAATCGCTTACACTGAAGCTTATAATCCTTTCCTTTCTACTATAGTTTATATTCCAGAGAGGCTGGATAAAGAGTGCATATAAATGCTACATATTATTGCACTTCCTCTAGGCCGGACAGTGCGGTCACCGACTACAGATTCTCAACTCTGGTTGGTTCTGATGAGTCACGTGGTTGGTATATTGCTGTCTGATTGGCTGGATTGGGTTGCGTGAGAATCGCTTTGCTACAATCCGATTATTGCCAAAGAGAAAGCTTCATACGGAGAGTAAACCAAATATCTTGGCGACTGACGAAGATTTGGCGACACCGCCGTGAAGAAAGCCCAATAAAACAGCAGCAAATCGTAGTGAGTCGAGACTACAGTGATAAAACAGCAAAACTATTCATCAATGACAACCACCACTCGACGCGAACACACAAACACACCACTGTCACGTCG